CATAAGCCAACCCATCTCATCCCCATCGCAACTCAACCTCGCTGACTCGAGACTTGGCTCACGTGCAATCGCTTTATTTGATTTTCATTTTTGGGGCCAACACAACGGCAGCAGAAGCAACATGCCACTGCCACTGCCAGAACCAAATTTGATTTAAACCCAACTCGCTTATACCCTTTAACAATAGTATACAACTTAACCTTTGGGTAATGGTAATCACAGTTTTAAACAACATGTTTTTCACATTGCTGCATTGCATATTGTTTATTTCGAGTCTTCTTATTTATTTTTTTTTAATCTTATGTTGAAGTAAGATTAAGTTTTTATTTTAATTTCACTTCTTATTTATTTGCTTTTAATCTTATGTTAGAGCAAAATTTAAATTACTTTTCGGTTCAGCCAAACCCCTTAATTCTTCATTCTAATATTACAATCAAACCAATTGCTATTTTTAGCAGTCAACATTAACAAAATTTTTTAAAGGTGACCCAAACTCAAATGAGTTATGCATGGCTGGTTTATCCAAAAGAACAGTTTGCTGGACTTCTATTATGTCGTTTAAGTGATTTAGGTCAGGATTTTAAGATTATGTGTATATATGACCACCAATTGAAGTGCCACGTGCCATATGCAAATTCTCAGGTTAAATCCAACCTCCTGAAAATTTCTTTATGTTTATTTGACAACTTTCTTTTTGTTATAAATAATGGTGTTTGCCTTTTCATAAGAAAACAAAAATATTAGATTTAGTGCTGTTCTCTTAAAAGCGTTCTGTAGGCTTAAAACTCAAACTTAAATTTCGAGGACATACATATTCGAGGTTCGGTGGGAATTAGCAGGAAGAAATTACCTTGGAAATTGCTGCTGTTATATTTCCAGTCACAATTGAGGCGCACATGGATTGCCTGAAATTATATTACCCCCTGCGAAGGGCACCACAATAGACGCAGTAACTATAGTTTTCATTACCTTGCCTTCCTTCTTGGCTCGTGAGTCTGTGTGCTGTTTGTGGCACACTTTTTGGCCGAAACATCGGGCCAGGCCAAGTTGAACTGGGCCCAGTCAGTGGCAGACATTGCGATGGCCTCGCAAGGAAGCACTTGGGCGGCAGTTAAGGCAAACATCCTGTCCCCCTCAAATCCTCCTCATCCCCCAACCCACCCCGTTTTGGGCAACCCAACCACCCACTCTCGGCGGGTGCTAATGCACTTGCACTCAGTGCAAGCACATAATTCGCTGCCCTCGAGCACACATGCGAGAGAAGCCGACACTCGAGCGGCACCACAAGTACAGTAGGACCCAACCAACACCCACTCCAACAGCCACCCACTCCGCACCCACTTCCCCGCCCACTTCCGAACCCCTTTTACCCCACAACCCTGCCCTCCTACAGTGGCTGCTAATTAAGCGGAACCCTAACGCTTCGATGACCACAAACTGTACGAGGAAATAATGAGCAACGCGTGGCGCTGAATATTTTTAATTGGAAATTCTTATTGATGAGAAAAATGGAAAATAATTATGGCAAAGTGAAAAGAAGGTAGCGCAAACCCTTGCCGAGGGTTTAATTAATTCTGGCAAACGAGCTTGCAATTATGGGAGCCAAGTGTGGCTGAGAGCACAAACGCTAGTTTAATGATGGCCTCCTATGCTGTTTGAGGGGCTAAATGTTAGAAAGCGAGATCTTTACTCCCTAGTTAAATTTAGTAAAAATAAGGTAATTTTATTAAAGTGAAAAACAACATAGTAAACGCTTTTGAACAAAATAATAATGCCAGAAAACTATTAATTAAATTATAAAAAATGCGCAACTAAATATTTGTAAAATATTACAAAAAGATAAAATGTTTTGCAATTTTTTTATTGTAAGTTTGTGTCTTAAGCTACCATACACATCATTTAAGAAATAAAATTTTAGATTTTGTTTAGCCAGTTACCACTGTAGCAATCGAGCTTAGGCTTGTGCAGCTGCCACTGAATCCAGTGATGTTGCTGGCACTCATTAGAAGGGAGGAGGGATTCCTTGGCCGCTGGCCGTCGGCAGATTTCGTCGTCAGTTGGATCCCCTGACCCATACGAAGGATAATGCCAGGAGGTGTTTTTTAGCCGAGCCTTTTGTTGCTGTTGTCTCATGTTGCACGTTGCGCCTGTCGAGTGCCATTCATTTGCCGCCCCTTTCATCCGCCCCTTGAGGTCATCGTGGCTTTCGTCACTTGCCTTGATGTTTGGGGGCACTTGACTGCGAAAAAAAGACAAATTAAATTGCTTTGAGTGTATTTGAGTTTCGTTTGGCGACTGTTGTCTTCTGCTGAGCCTTCATTATCTTATCGGTTAATGTCTGCCTTTAAGACGTTAATTAATTGCGCTTTTGCTAGGAAAAGTTATACAGAAAATTATTTTTGTGCACCTGGTGTAGTTTTGCTGCTTTACTGAGTTACACTAGTATATTTAATTTTTATATCAATATAAATTAATATCAATTATATCAATCTTAGCTATTTAATATAACGTTTAGAAACACATAACAATATGTCTCTGCCAGGTAGATAACAATTAACATAAATATGAAAAACATTTTATTATAGAATAAATAATCATTTAAAGGTTGTTGCATATATCAAATGTTTTCTGGATTTTAATTTTCTGTGCATCACCGCTTCTGTGATTTTAGGATTTCGAATGCTTTTAAGATTCGTTCGGTTTTCTGTGCCGAGCTTTCCTTATCTTTATCTTTGAACGTTTGCCTTTGGAGCCATAAATTATTTGCGCTTCTGCCATTATATAGTTGCACAAATATTGAGCTTAAAACGAGGCAGGCGAAATTAATAACACGAACTTTCGGGCACGCACGGATGAGGAATGAAGTGCGAAAGAGAGGGAGGATGAGGAATGAGGTGCGACAGAGAGGGAGGATGAGGAATGAGGTGCGACAGAGAGGGAGCGATCGTTTGGGCTTGACTGACCGCAGAGATATCACGCATACGCCATGGTGTTCGGCATAGAGAGGGGGTTGGATTGCTTTCCATTGTTATTCGGGCAGTGCGTGCATGTATTTGTTGTTCTTGCAGCTCCTGTTATCGACAATTTTTGGGACACCCTCATGCATTAAACATATTCACGTCGGGTGGAAATTCCTTTTGTGTTGCATCCGACAAAACTCATAAATGAACATATCCTCAATGGCTGCAATTTCCCATCCATCCACTCCAAGGACATCCACATGCCGTAACAGGATGCCGAAAAGTGTGTTGCCTGCCATAATCGATATTCGATTTAAATTGTTCCTTTAATCACTATTACTGCTGCAATGTGGAAGTGGAAAGTGCTTGCATATGCACTCTCCTTTCGCGATTGCAATTTTTCAAGGCAAACAATAATTACAATTTTCAATTTATGATAATGAACTTTACTCTACCATCAAATAAGAATTGATACAGATTGCCGATATACTCAAATAAAAGAGGCAGATTGTGTACTTTTTGCTGGTGTTTCCAAGGGAAAATCTCCTCTGAAACCGGAGGATGATTGATTGTTAGTTTAACAAATGCTTCCGTTTATTTTGCTGTGAAATTGAGCTCGAGAATGTTCATACGGAAGAACGCCAAAATAATTTCATTGGGATTGTTTAATGGCTTAATATTGTGCAAGACAACATGTTCATAATTGATGAATGGAATTAATTAGTGGCATTGATTTATAATGAATTCTGATGTTTGTTCTCTGGTTAAACCTTAAGTAAACCAACTGTGGTTTAAGTTTCTGGATTAAATTTATGGCTTACGCTAAGCAAAAGTAATTGGCAAAATAAATAATCTGCGTACTTCATTTCAAACCCAATTTAAGAAAACATTACTTTGCAGAAAATCATAAGCATAGAAATACTTTTAAAGTCGTAACTACTCAGCTTTTTTGCCACTAACAAGAATATACAAATCTTTTAAGGTGCATAATCCGGAAGCCATTTTCTTCCTTTCGCCTTAAATGTTTTTGCTCTGAGAGCATAGTAAATTAGCAACCTAATGTCTTCTTGCTTTTTGCTCAGCCAACTCAGCATGGCTTTAAAAAGCTCAGAGTTTCTTCTTCGGAATTTTTGTTGCAAGTCCACTTAGTAATTCTTTTTGTTGACCGACCTGGGATAAGACACATCCACAGGATCAAGCTGGTTGCACATGAGATTGGGCGTGTGGCTTGAACCGAAAGTAAAGTAAACTCAGCTCGATGATGGCTCCTTGGCATGCAATTTCCACGAAGCAGTGGCTAATACTTATTCAAGGCATTGGCCCGGCTATCGATGACAGGTCGAGTGGAGTGCTGGGGAGCAGTGAGAAGGGGGCACCGGAGGGTTAAGGCGATCCAAGGACACATGCGTCATCAGCATTATCCCTACGCTTCAACGCACCCAAAATAACCATTACGAAGGAAATTTTCCCTTTGCTTCATGAAAGTTGAAATACTCTAGGGAAACGGCAAACTTTTGATTAAACTTCCCTTTTATTTAAAACATTAAAAGGATATGACATTGGAAATCGAAAATAAATGAAATGTTTGGTTAGGGCTCGCTTTAGTTTACAGAGTTGAACAGCAAACTAAACTTTTTTAGCTAACCAATCTCTTAAAACCTTAACATATAATTTAGTAATGTGAAGGAAACAAATTCAAAGCTTAAACGTGTAATCATTAATATAACAAATTTTAAAGTACACAAGTAATTTAGCTACCCCATTTTAAGTAGAGTAAAGCACACGCGTTCAAGTTCGAAAATAAAGTGGATGGGAATAATAGTTTGTGCTTCTTCAACTTTGGATCCATTAACACAATTGCCATGACCCCACTCTTTCAGGACTCATTTATCATGCTAAAACTTACCAGGCAGCCAGATTTAAGACATGAGCTTTTCAGTTTTGAGCAGCCGAGCGAAACTATTAAAAACCCAAAAACTCTGTGGAATATTGCATGTATTTTATTTCATTTTTTCCCTTTTTTGATTTTGCTCCTTGCAGAGTTTACAACGAAAAGTTGCGGCGGAGAGGGCTTCGGCAAATATCAACAGCTGGCAAAGCAAATCATAAGTAAACACAGAGGACAGGACCGGACAACCGCACAGGACGAAGGATAGACGTGGTAGTTGCCATGGGAGCAGCCTCGGGTGTTGACCAGGAGTGAAAGGATCCAGCAGCAGCAGGGGAAAGGCAGAAGGTAGCAACAGCTGCGGCAGCAATCCGAACAGCTGCAACATCTACGAGCAACGAGCAACGAGAGCAACAACGAGGGCAACAACAAACAACGCCAGAACAACACCCGCAATCAAATCAAATTCAAAGATGCAAATTACAATTTGCATACAAATGCATGCGGACCAGACGACATCAGGCGACATCATCACAAACTGCAACGAAAGCAACAAAGGCCCCGCAAATTGTTGTCAAACGCTATAAAATTGTTGAGAATAATTGCAGAGTCCACTGGCAAACATATCACTGAGCGGGTGTAAGGTTCCCATCCTCCAATCAACATGATCAAGGGCATTCTCATCCAGCGCAAGAGCCAGGAGGATGCCAGCTACACCAAGCAGCTCAAGATGGAGCACGCGGACCTCGTGGCCGAGATGCAGACCGTCGAGAGCCTGCCCACCCACGAGCGCCTCCAACTGGCCCGATTGTGAGTTGTATACTTTAAAGAACATTATTATTATTATTATTGTTATAATCAGAAGAGCTTAGAACAGACCTATGAATATGATATTGCAGTTTCAGGGATACTTGCTTACAAAAATTACTAAAATCGGTTTCAAGTATCAGTTCTTAGCAAACAGAAAACAAATTTTGTTTTAAAAATAATATTTGATTAAAATAAAAACACAAAATCAAAACGTCGTAAGGAGGAACAAACAGAGAATGCTCTATTTATTTTCATATGTATTATCCAATTTATCTTGTGTTATTAGTCCAATTTATTTAAGTGCTTTTTCGATAAGAGAAACTTAATGAGGATGGTAAATTTAGTAACATTAAAATATATCTTTAATTCTCCTCATGCTGGAAAATGTAATGATGAATATAAAGATATAATAATCCTTTCCTTGCAATCTCAACTCAAACTATCCATTTTAGTTTGGTAGCCTAACTTAGTCTAACATAACTGCCGATAAGCTGAATGCAAATATTTGTGAGTGTTGCTGAGCAAAGCTCCCTTTGTTTTCTTGTGGGCTCCTCCTTGCCTTCCGCTTTTGTGCTATCAAATTTCCGCAACTAATCCCCAAACTCTACCCAAATCCCTTCCCCTCCATTTGCAACAGACGTCGTGCCCAGCAGCTGAAGCTCTCCCGGCAGAAGGAGAAGGAGTGGGCCAAGCTGCAGCGGGCGAAGGGCAACGCGGCGAGCGGAACCGGAAACGGCCAGCTGGGCAACGGGCTGATGAACGGGAACGGAGACACCACGCACCACTTCCGGCACGCGAACGGATCGGGAACGGTGAGCGGGCGGCGGCACATATCCTTCGAGAACAGCGTGGTGCTCCTCGAGGCCGCCTCCCGCAACGACATGCCCGAGGTGGCGGCCCTCCTGCAGCACGGGATCACCCCGGATGCCGCCAACGAGGACGGACTGACCGCGATGCACCAGGCGTGCATCGACAACAACGTCGAGATGCTGCAGCTCCTTTTGGAGTACGGAGCGAATGTGGATGCCCAGGACAGCGACAAGTGGACGCCGCTCCATGCGGCCGCCACCTGTGGACACCTCGAGCTGGTGCGCATCCTCATCCGGCACGGCGCCAACCTGCTGGCCGTCAACACCGACGGCAACATGCCCTACGACCTCTGCGACGACGAGAACACGCTCGACTTCATCGAGGGCGAGATGGCCCAGCGGGGCGTCACCCAGGAGCTGATCGACGAGACGCGCTCCTCCACGGAGCGGATCATGCTCCGCGACCTCATGGAGCTGGCCCGCACCGGCGGCGACCTCGAGGAGCCGGACTACCAGTGCGCCACACCGGTGAGTTCAATTATTACAATTGCACATGACAAAAAAATTGTAGGACATACAAAATGTTTAACTTGCGTTCTAAATCTTTTCAAATGCAATCACAACATATTCAATTCACAAGTTTGCCATTTACTATCAAAGCGCTCATTCAATAAAAAATTATACAAAGTGTTTAAATGAAAAACAGAATTAAATATTCGAATTATAAACAAAAAAGCCAAAGCTTTAGATTAAAATTCAGAATCCAACAATTTTATAAGTTTTTATTAAATATATGTATGTTCATCTTAAATTGATTCTTGTTTACTTATAAAAATCCGTCATTTGCTCTGTGTAGTCAAGGTTAAAGAACAACTTTAATAAAATAATATCTGTTAAGTTAATATTACTTACTCGTTAAACTTATATAAACTCCATTTCGAGCTTAGATTAAAGTTTTTTTGAACATTTTAAATTTTATTACATTTTATAAACGACTCCTTAATTTGTCCCCATGAATAATTTGTAATTTATCCCAACTGTCCAGCTTCATATAGCCGCTGCGAATGGATATGTCCGCGTCGTGGAGTTTCTGCTGGAGCAGCATGTCAACGTGGATGCCATGGACAAGGATCTGTGGACTCCGGTTCATGCCGCCGCCTGCTGGGGACATGTAAGTGAAGCTGAATAAAGTAAAGGGTGAACGATGGAATAATCACCTTCATTGTTGTTCTCTTCAGCTGGAGGTGCTGGAAATGCTCGCCCAGTGTGGTGCTGATTTAAATGTTCGCAACAAGGACGACGAGACGCCCTCAGGTGAGAATATGCAAAGAGGTTGTGGCCCAAAAGCAATGGAAACCTTTGCGAGGCGAATCATCCATGAATATTAAATTGAGCCATAAATTGTTATTTGCGTTAACAAGGAGAACGTGTAAATCTTTTTGGATAGACACTTTTTCCTTTATGTAAAACTCGTTTTGGTGAGCAAAAGAAGGAAGGATTGCTAAAAGCTTTTGAAGCTTGATGGCTACTTGAATTTTAGAAAGGAGTTTCCCTAGTGGTAAAAATTTTAGGTAACATTTCTCTTGGCATAAACCAATATTACTATAAACAACTTTTGGCAAATTAATGAAATTGAATTACAAGATTTAAATAAACTTTTAGTATAAAATGTAATAAATTTATTTCTATAATTGTGCATTCAAGTGGATTAGATGCATATTATGCAGCATTTAGTATCCTTACCACATGGCTATAACGCGTTTATTTACAACTATTTACCTTATTTATTCTAAATGAAAAATCCCGTAACTTAATGTTCGCAGATATTTGCGAGGATCCCGAGATCAGGGAGCGCATCGAGCAGCTGAAGACGGAGCAGGAGAGCAAACGACTGGCTGAAGCGCAGCGGCGGCGCGTTCGACGCTCGCAGAGCAACAACACCAGGTAAGCATTCTTAAGAATCCATTAATAAAAAAAACATTAGCACCATAAGCACCTCAATTCCACAGAGCCCAATCAGTGCGACGGACCAGCTTGCGGGACAAAACGCTGACAACCAAAAAGGACGCCGTCGAGGAGACGCGGCTGCGTCTGCAGGCCCAGGAGGCGACCGACTCGGAGGCCCCCTCCTCGGGAGGAGATCCCCTCTCGAATGGCTACGGGTACGGGAACAACAACGGGGAGAAGCGACCCTCGACGGGCAGTTCGAATGGCCAACCACTGCCGCACTCCAAGTCCGCCGATGCGCTGGACAACGCCATGATGGCTTCCTCCGCCGCGCTGGCGGCCACCGCCACACATTCCTATCAGTCGCGTCGTCCGCCGGACGGGCGGGAAAACGACGAGCTGCTCCGCCTGAAGGCCGCCGGCGCCGCTGGCGACATGCAGCGGGCCACCTCGGCGGCGGCCGTCATCCTCACCGAGAAGGGAACGGCGGCCAGCGCCGAGGCCGTTCAGATCCAGTCGTCCAAGGAGGCTGCCAACGGGAAGATCAACGTCCAGGTCACCGTCCTCGTGGGTGAGTTTGCCAACACTTACTGGCCACGTGTCCGGATTGCTTCCGCTTCCGCTTCCCCCCTGCCACCCAGTCGCTCATCCGTGCCATCCGACCACCTCCAATCATTCCATTGCCCCATTGGCTCCCAAGGAGCGTCGACGTATCTCGGAGAGTCCTGCTTAAGCGCCATTCTGTCCCCGTGTCAATGTCAATGTTTAATGTTTATTTAACGACTCTACTAAAATGGAAATGAAAATACTTCCAACAAGCAAACACAGCTTACAGCATGGTTAGAACATCGAATGGGGTTTGCCCTGTGAATGGGAAGGATATTAGGGTAGAAATGTTTAAGGGGGATGTCTGACTGTATAGATTCAAAAAACTCAAGATTGAATTATATTTTATGTTGCTTTGAAATATTTTGCAAATATGTGAGTAGAAGATTGTAAAATTGTTGTCAAGCCATTTTTATTTATAATACTTCTTGAATATGACATCTTAAGGGGCAAAGTACCTATATGTTGTAAGCTTAATAATTTAATATGATTGAGTTTTATTTTTCTTTTATATTTATTTTTTTGGTTTTTTTTTTTTATTTTGCTTAAACTAATAACTATCCTAGTTAGGTTCCCAATGATTACATAGCATGGCTGCAATAACACACAGGGTATTTGCATGAAACATCCGCCACACATAACCGATCCCACCCAACTGGTTAAGGGGTATTTGCAAACTTAACTCTCAGAAAAAAAGAAAAGGACGAAAGTAAAATAACATTTGCTTGTTTCTGTTTCATTCTTTTTTGTTGTTGTTGTTGTGCCTCGTTTCGCCCGTTCTGTGTCGTCTGCCTGCCCGCATCATCATCGACAATAAAAAAAAAACAACAACTACACCACTGCCGCACCACCCTAAAAACAAACACACCCCACCGCCTTGCCAAAAACCATCAACATCCAGACACCAACAGCACGCACCACCATCAGCAACATCAACAGCAGCAGCACCAGCAGCAACTCCACCAGCAGCAACACGTGCTGCTGTTGCAGCAACATCAGCAGCAGCAACAGCAACTCCAGCAGCAGCAGCAGCAGCAACAGCAGCATGTTGCCTTGGATGGCTACAGTGCCACGTTGGCCAACTTGAAGAAGCAACGCTCGCTTTCACGCACCGCCAATGTCCTCAATAATTTCGAACTGTCATCCCAAACAACTAGCAATGCCCATCAAATTGCAGCTGCAACTGCAACCACAACTAATGGTTCTGTTTTAGGAGCCGGCGGCACTGGCAGCAGCACCACCACCACCAACAACAACAACAACAACCTTAGCACAAGCAACAACAACAACAACGGATCGGCACCGATCTCGACGCAACCGATGGGCCAAATGGGTCCGGGCAGCCTGCTATCCGACTTCGAGGGCTCCTCGCCGGCGGGCAGCTCGCTGAACAAGTTCAGCGGAATCACCGGGGACGTGGTCACCGACAGCACGAGTTCCAGTCGCCGGTGCTGCGTCCTGATGTAGAAACTAAACTAACCAACTAACCAACTAGAATCACAGGGTATTAAACCAACCTGATTTGCGATCAGAGGAATAGGCCATTATTCGAATGGCGTCGCGAAAGTGTCTTCTTTTAGATTAGCCGAATTCAGTGAGTGAATTGTTGAATGTTGACAACACAAATGCATGTTGGTTTAAGAGGGGGTTCAATTCTGTGAGCTCCCAGAACGGCTCAAAGTCGTTGCATTTTCCTAGCTGACACTACACACACACACAACCAATTATACGATAAAATTTATACAAATATACAACCATATGTATACATTTGAAAGATCATAAAAAGTATATTAAATAAATGTGAGCAGTTTACCTTAGTTGATACGTAAAACCCAAATCAAAACCATAAAAAACATCAAAAATATTTATATAGAAGTGCTAAGAACTTAACTTAATGATTTGCTTGGAGTGCATTGAAATTAGCTGTGGTTCAGTGTGTGAGTGTTGAAACCGAAACAGGCAAAGTATTATGCAACAAGTATGAAATATTTAACAAATAAACTATAGCGAAATTGTAGTTAAAACGTGACAGCAAAGTAAAGCAAAGCAATGAAATGCAAAGCAAAGCACTTAAGCAATTCCCCATATAAGTGTCTAAATGTTCGAAAAGAAAAGATGTTTATGCCAGACAGCATTAAGATTTGGCCCAGTTCGATCTGGATTTATTTTTCAGTAAATTACCTTGCTCTGCGCTATGAGAGTTGGGTTCTGTTGAGAAATGCAAGAAACTTTGTATTATTTACGTAGTAACTATGTTTGTATATATACACAATTCCAAATGATTTAGAGATAAAATACAAAAAACAACGCGCAATTAGCAGAAGAGACTTTATTCGATTTGAATGTCAAGGCATTAGCTGAACGTTTTGTAAAATAAACAAAAGAATTACAAAAAAAAAATAAAAATATAGTTTTTCTTTTGAGCTCGCGCCAAAATTAACAGCGCCACCTGTCGTGAAATTTAAATTTAATTTTTGACCGAAGTTGGCAGTTTTTGTTTTATTCAAAGTTGGCAGCTTTGAAAATCAGCTGTTTCAGTTTTTTGTTTATTTTTATACCCTTGCAGAGCAAAAGGGTATTATAATTTCAGTCAGAAGTTTGCAACGCAGTGAAGGAGACACCTCAGACCCCATAAAGTATATATATTCTTGATCAGCATCACGAGCAGAATCGAAATATGTATGTACGTCTGTCCGTCTGTCCGTCTGTCCGTCTGTCCGTCTGTCCGTTTCCGCGCAAACTAGTCTCTCAGTTTTAAAGCTATCGAGCTGAAACTTTCCCAAAAGTTGTGTAGTTGTTGCACGCAGTATATAAGTCGGAACGAGCCGGATCGGCCGACTATATCGGATAGCTCCAATACAAGAGAATGAAATAAAAAATTCTCACTCTGTTGTTTTTCATCAGATCGACTTGAATTCTTCAAGATGGCGTTTTCTAACTGTTATTGAATTTCGGATTAAATTTGATCAAAATCGGATAACTCTATCATATAGCTGCCATAGGAGAGATCGAAAATTATATATAGAATTAATGGAAATAAATTGATAACATCGTTGTTTTTCATCAGAAAAGTATGATTTTTGGAATATAGAGTGTTCTTACGACTCTTGAATTACGAGTTAAATTTGATCAAAATCGGACAACTATATCGTATAGCTCCCATATCTCTATAGTCAAAAAAATGGGAAATGAATAGAAAAATCGTCTTAGCTTCGATGTTGTCTAGCCTTTATGCGTTTTGTTCGACATATTTGATGACTGCAAGGGTATATAAGCTTCGGCTTGCCGAAGCTAGCTTCCTTTCTTGTTGAAATATAAAATTAATGGAGTCGCTAGCCAAATATCGTTATAGCTTAGTAGCTGGGTCTTTTGCTGCGGGGGAAGCTTTTTTGGTAAGCTCCCCAGCCACCTAAGCGCACTGAAATTACTGAATACGTCGGGAAGTACTTTAGGCTCCTCTTATTTAGGTAAGTTTGGAGTGGTTTTCTATTTGGAAAACAATGAGCTCGCAAATCGATGTACACTCCTTACAGAAATTGCATTATTCCGAGTCCCGCCATTGGTTCTTATGATAGTGTGCAATGTAAGCAACTTGCGTTGTTTTTTGAAGGCTCTCCAGATGACCGAACAAACTTTAACTTGCGTTGTTTTAACAGCCGCCTCCAATTATGTCTTATCGGTTGGGAACTCTTCGGAAATGTTTGCTAAATTATGACTAACATCCGTTCAATAGTTTATTTTAGGAGCACTTGTTTACCAGGAACCACTCACATCGTTATCTGGAATTGGAATTACACTAATTTTGGCTGGTCTATATTTCCTTTGCGATGCGGAATCGGTTGAATCTAAGAAAAAAGTACAAGAAAAGGACAAATAAAGATGAAAAAAGATTTTTATACCATCCAGGATTTTTTATCATAAACTATTGGGTTGGGTTGACAAAACTCGCGTACGCTAAGATATTTAAATGTATAGACATAGTTGACCCGTTCGCTTATTTAAAGAAAACGAGCTTTTTTATATACTTTTGTTTAATGTATGTACTTTTTTGCAAATACATAATTTTCATTTCATTTATAATGCACTGTTAGTGTGCACAATTCTTCATTCACGCAGTGGTAATTACAACTATTTTTTTCTTTTTTGTGTGTAAAAGTTTGGTAAAACAAAAAAAGATGTTGAAATGGGATAGAGCATGACAGTAAGAGCACAAACTATAAATATATTTATCATTCGTTTATATATATAGGTAATAGTAATTAATTTGTATAATTCAGAATCGTTATTTAATTGCTAAGACGTATAAATACTTTTTATTCTTTCTCTCGACATCTGTGTTATCGCATCAGCTTCAACGCAGCCAAACAGGGATATTGTGAATTCGGTCGGGAGAGACTAACCCGAGATGTTTTGCCAATATTTCATTAGTGGTTTTGCCGAAATCCTGTCCTGTCTGGGAGTTTTAGAAACCCTTAGAGCGTTTACTTTCCTGTATGTAGTTGTAAATCCTTTTGTTTCTAACAACTATTTTGTTTTATTATTAATACATTATCAAATAAACCAAAATCAAGGGAAATAATTATAAATTGTTTTCAAAAATGTGCATGTATCGGTTTGCTGCTGCTTCATTTTCGTTTCCCTAGTTGCGATATAAAGGATTCTTTTTGATAGATTTCCATTTCTTCTGGTTGAGAGTTTTATACGTAACGATAATTGTACGTCTACGTGGCCATTACTTGCATGTGGGTGATTGGTTTGTGTATGGTTTGCATGAATTGTATGTTCTTTTGTTTGCGATTAATACGTATTGTTTGCTCAGTTTTTATTCTCCAGTCCAAGAGGCAAGCGTTGCGACTGGTTTTGGCGGTTTACGTAGCCACCACCGCTTCCCTGGTTTCCCGATCCGCCACGCCCACGATCGCCCATGGGCCTGCCGCCTCCGTATGAACCATTAACATTCCTCTGCTGGTTGCCGCCTCGCTGGCCGCGATAGCTTCCACCGCCGGATGACTCGTAGCGCGACTCCTTGTTGTACGTGCCACCTCCGCCTCCTCCGTTCTGGTAGTAGCTGCTGGCACCGCTATTGCCCGACTCATTGTTGCGGAAGTACACGCCGCTGTTGCCCGAGTTGCGTCCGTTCGGGTTCGAGGAGTTGCCGTACTGACGCGAACGGTAGTTGCCTCTGTCGCCGCCGTTGCGCCTCTCATCGCCTCGTCCGCCTTGGTCGCGATCCCGGTTATCGCGGTCTCCGCCGCGTCGCTGGTAGTTGCCGGAGTTGCGACGTCCCTCGCCCTGCGAGTTGTTCCAGTGGTTGTTGCCCTCGTTGTCTGCATAACCACCATTACCGCCGCCAGCGCTGTGGTCCCTGGGAGTGGCCCACTCCTGCTTGTGGCTGGTGTTGCTGCTGCCGTTCGAGGCAGCGCTACTCATGGCGTTCATCTCCGAGCTCCACTTGGTGGGCTGTGCCTGCGGCGTGGCCTCGCCCTTCAGCACATTCGAGAGCGCAGCTGTGGCTGCAGCATTCGTATCGTTGTTGCGGGCATGCCACTCATTGTTCTCCACATCGCCACCAGCGCCCACACTCGACGACGTATTAACAGATGATGGCTCTTCCAGCAGCTGCTGCTGCTGCTGATGTTGCTGCTGCTGTTGTTGTTGCTGCTGTTGTTGTTGCTGTTTCAGCTGCTGTTGGATCTGCTGCTCATAGGTGACCACAGAGTTTTCGTACGTAAAAACTGAGGTCATATCGCCCGGCTGCATGCCAATTCCCTGAGGAGCTGGCTGCTGAGGCTGCTGGGTTGGCAGACGCGGCATAATCAGCATGGGCTGAGGCTGCTGCTGCGGTTGCTGCTGGCGTTGCTCGTGGATCAAAACCGGGGAGAAGAGCTGCTGCTGCGGAGGAGCCTGCTGCTGAGGCTTCGGCGGCTGCGACGGGAACGACTGGTTGGTGAAGGTCAGCGTTTTTATGGCCTGCGGTGGTTCTTCGACATGGTTCGGCTGCTGTGGCTGTTGCTCGAATACCAATCCCGGATTGGTCGGAGGAGGCTGGGCCAAAGCCTCAGGATTGTCCAGTTCGCTGTCCTGCAGAAAGTGGAAGCTTCCTGTGCCCAAGACCTCCGCCAAAGGACGACACTGCTGCATGAATTGTTGCTGCTGGGGCGTTGGTGCCTGCAGCCCAGGAGCCTGCGGATGCGGCGGCGGCTGCTTGAAGTAGTTCTGCTCCACGGCCCGCACGTTGGGAGCAAAATGAGCTGGATGTGGCTGCTGCTGTTGTGGCGGCGGAGCAGCAGCTCCTGTCTGCAAGGCATGGAGATTCACGGGGCTGCTCATCAGCTGGTGAGGATGCGGTGGCTGCTGTTGAGGCTGCTGGGGAGGCGGCGCCGGGGCGTACAGAACATGCACTGGAGTTGTTGTTCCTCCTGCCGGAGGAGCTGCCTGGTAAACCTGTGGCGGCTGCTGTTGCTGTTGTTGCACCACCAAGGTCTGCTGCTGATGTTCCAGGGAAGGAGCCCGCTGGTGCTGCTCCAGCAGATGATGTCCAGGACGCTCCTGCTGTTGTTGATGCTGTGGATGCTGCTCCAGTTCCGGCTGCCCACTTAGGTGCAACTTGTCCAGTCCTTCCTCCAGCGAATTACGAGCCGACGGCTCCGATGGCAGTTCCGCGTCGATTTCGCCAGAGCCGTCGATCAACAAGTCACCGCCCTCCCCATCGCCACTACCGGTGCCGCTATCCGTGCTATTGGCCACAGCGTTCTCGGCCAATGGCACCAGGTAGTACTTGTCCAAGTAGCCGCAGTCCTGGATCTGCTGGAAGAGGGCACGTATCTTCTCGAAAGTCGTCTCGCCAAAAGGCTTTGGACGCGCATTGATGGTCGAATAGAACAGTTCAGCTGATTTTTGGGCATAGGTTATGAAGCTAACATCATCAGCGGTCTCCGGTCGTCGGGTTTGAGTCTCCGAGCAGCTGAGAAAGTAAATATTTCACATTAAAAAACAGAGAACTAGAAAATATAACGGTTGAAGATTGTTTGATTGAGGTGGGTAAGTACTTTGTGTAAAGACTAACGGCTTCATCATCAATAATATAATAATGGTATTTTTAATATAATAGTCCCTCAAAAAGATCAATTATGTTTATGATCGTACAAAGTAGGCTACTTACAACTTCTCAAGCACATCCAGTTCGGTGCTGTCCAACTTTTTCGCTCCGTTCTCGCCGGCCAGGAAGTCGCTGCGCACTTGCTCGTCGTTGAAGCAGCTGAGCACGTTCTGGATGATCAGAACCTCTCGGATCTTATTCGTTTCAGCAATTGTCTTCACCAGGTTGTCCTTTGATTAGAATGTATACAATTAACAACTGTGAGGAGTAAAAATTAACAGACAAACCTTGCGCGCCTGCTTCTTTTGCTCCTTTTCGGCCTCCTTCGACTGCTGTTGGATATGTTTGGCCAGCTCGCGGGCAAACTCCAAATTGGCCAGGACTGCGTCGTATTTGGCCACGGCCGAGGCTTGATCGCCGCTCAGTTCCTTTCCGGTGCTCTGAATGGCGCGATAGGACTCGAGTTTGGTCTGTTTAAAAGAGTAAAATTTGTGGTTACAGATTTGTATTTTTCTGCCGCTGAAGCAACTAATTTTCTAATATTTATTTTATAGAATAATATCGTTTTTCCATTTTTAAACACTTTAGAAGCCTTTCTTCAATATTTTCAAACAAAACAATTCTTTTGTATACTTTACTATGTTGGATATAAAATGAAAAATAGCATTGTTAAATATTTTTCATACACTTTTAAAAATAAAACAAAAAAAAATTAAATGCATTTTCAAAGATTTAAAGCTGCAAACTAGTGTGCCATACCCATCCCTTTTTAGCTGTTAGTAACCGTTTTTAAAGTACAGAATTCTCAAACCCGGCTTAATAGAAACCCGAAAATAACAAATACAAGTCTGCAAAGGAAACAAAAAGTAAACCGCAATATTGTTGTTTTTTGACTACTTCTGACATGCCGGCCGCTTCAAGCGGTCCGGCAACTCCGTGCTCTAGAAAACATGGCGTCGCGAAAAATCTGCCAGCCCCGAAAAGTTCCAACAGCGCGGGGGGTTGCGGGGTGAGCGCAAAACGAAACAAAGCAACACGGAAAGAACGAAAATAAAAAATGGTGGGCCATGCTGTTAGGAAGGGACCCTTTCAGAATGTATTTCTGGGCTCCCCTACTGACCTTGCGCTTCTCCAGGTTCCGGATCTTGTGCTCGATGGTCACCAGCAGCTGCTTGAGCGGATTATACGGTTCTGGAGTGGCGGCCGCAGCGGCAGCCTTCAACTTGGCAGCGCTTCCATTGCTCGCATTGTTGTTGGCCAGATCCGTTTGGCTGCCATCCGGAGCACTCGAATTGCCGCTGTTGCTGGTGTTATTCTGGCCATTGGCGGCAGCAGCTCCTGCGATCCCCGATCCGCCCAGCGAAGTTATTGAGGAGCGCTTCTCCTTGCTAGCGTTGTTGTTGTTGGCAGCGGCGCTGGCGGCAGTTGCAGCGGTAGCAGTAGCGGAATTGGCAGCCGAAGGCATGGTGCGCCGTTGTGGTTCTTCCTGATTGCTCAACGACGTTTTTAGCTCGAAAAGGGGAATGATTTTCAAACGGCTGCTGCTGCGCTGTTTTCCAGTCCAAAAAACCAAAAAGTGTGATAGAGATGGGAGACATTTAAAAAAAGAAAAATACCCTAAAATGCCAATTCCTAAATTTGCCGGCAAAAGTATTTTTATACCCAGAATATAAGGGTTGCGATCTCCACTGTGTCTTAGCAGAAATTCATTTGAATATACCACCCTTATTTATTTTATTTTTCGTCCGTTGGCTTTTGTTATCACTTTGTCAACTTTGACTGTAGTTATTTTAATTAACGGCTAATTAAACGTAAGTTACCACAATAAATTATAAACAGCGAAACAAAATGTTTTATTTATTTTAAAAGGCTTTACAGTTGAAATCATTTCTTGTGACAGATTTGAACCCTACTCCGCATAAACTTTAACGTAGTCTACGATCATGGCGCTGTGCCTGCCCCAAGTCGGTTGCCAATTATGGCGGTTATCCCAAAAAGAGCGGGCCGCCCGCGGGTTTTTGTTTGTGTAGGGCTTCACATCGTTGGCCAACAGCGCATCATCGAAATTAATAAAGCCTCCCACTGTCACGCCAAAAATTATAAAGCACTTCTCGTCGAAAAACGTCAATCCATCGTATAGCTCTCCGTAAACCTCCTCATCAACCATTAGCGTAATCTTATCCTGCTGCCAGACCATTGTATAGTTGTGGAAATCATCGCCGTAGTGCGTCTTGCTTATTCGATCCTTGAGGAATTGAACGGCCCTTCTATTATGCCAAATAACACTTCCTCCATACAGATGATTTCCCGAGATATCATCTCCTTTTTTGGTGCGCAAAGCCGTGTTACCCCGGGCAAAAGCAATACCTGAAAATGGAATTCAGAATTAATTTAAATACATACATATCTCACTTAACATTAATTCATTTTGTACAGCACAATATTAACGGCTCATAAGTTTAATTTTTGCAAAAACTCACGCAGTTGGTTGGCATAGTGCGACTCCGCATAAGTGGACATGGGTTGGAGCATCAGATCTTGATAAAATAATGAAAATGTATCGTTTTATAAGGTATTTTAATAGGTACTCACAGGGAAACAGCCAATCGCCCTTGGGCAACTTGGCTCTCACCACGATTTTTCCGAATTTGAAACTAAAAGAGTTTCGGGTGTGAATTTGGGCGGAGAAAACTGGAGGCTTGATGCTATGGTAGCTGTGGGCAATATTGCACTCCTGATCCGTGTTTTCCACGGCGGTGCAGCGATCTCCCAGCTTGAAACCTCCTTCTTCAACCTCCCTGGCTACAATGGGAACGATGTGGAGCTCGCCTTCCTTTACAAATGAGTTGTTAGGAGCATTATCGAAGGCCACAAGCTCCTCCTCCTCCTGGTACAAGCGCTGCCTAGTTATTATAAGAAAGTTTAGTTATCGAATGATAATCCTCTGAACTTAAACCATTTCTAGTACCGGATATCGTGCTTCCAGGTCGTCGTGTTCAGTTGGGCGTCCGAAAAGTTGTCCTCGAAGATGAGTTCACCCTGGCAGGTGCGGCGACCATTGCTCAGGATCGTTTGGGCGGGCTTGCATCGTTTGGTTTCCTGTTTCGGAGCGAGGATTGCCTGACACTCCCCCTCTCCCGAGGGAAAACTGATGGTCCTCGAACTGGAGTCCTTGGTGGTCAGCAAGCGGGTGTTGATTATCACCCTGGTTTCGCTCTTCTCGAAGATCTCTTCATTGTACTGCACCAGCATGGATATCTGAAGCTTGTCGTTGTTCTGGAGACGCGACTTTTGCGTGGAGGTCCAGCTTCCGTTTACCGCCTCCGTTATGTAGTCCATAAAAGCAGGACACGCGTCGTCTATTTGGAGCATGTAAAACACTCGCTGAATGCCAGGTTCATCTGAAAACGAAAGGAGAGTTATACATACTAAGCTTTTATCTTTAAACTAAAAAAATGCTCAAAACCTTTTTTTTTTTTTGGTGAATACTACATTGGTCTGGAATTTATATTTATTTTACTTAATAAAATGAAAAAAAATTTAATAATAACTTTTTATTAATAATAATTATTGAATTTGTATTAAGCTCGTTTTGCTATTAAGATATTAGAGCTTTTTCATTATGAATAATTTTATGAAACAATTCTGGTGTCATAAAACAACCCGCAGAAATAAATTAAGCCTTACCTGGTATGGACACCTTGAATCCTTGGTCATCTAGCATTTCGAGATCAACGCCGGGCACTTTAAAACCCGAAATTTCGCAGCTTAAAATTAGCAACAAAAAGCATGGCAGAGTTTCCCAGCGCATGACGCAGTTTTAAGTTAAATGTACTAACTAGAACTCGATAAACGTTTTATTCTCAGAACCTGTGCGGTGGGACTGGTGCATCAGATAGAAAATCTTGATCTTGAAAGCTTGCCCCGGTTGAAGCTCCCCTTGATCACAGCTGCACTAAGATCAAAATGTTAGAAACACATCAAAAAATAGTTTGCCACAAAATGTTATTGAATTATCAATTTTTAAGAATTAATTTTTTTTAGCTATTAGCTGTTCAAAGTCGATTATTATTACAGTTTTTATATAGAATGTTTAAAATAAAACAACAATCATATTATCATCGCAACACTAATATTTATTGGTTATATCTTAAAGCAAAATATAAGGTGTTGTTAAAACTGCATCATTAGCAATGGTGTATAATAAAACAACAAGTCATACAATTTTGTTCAGGTATAAGGATAATTTAAAAGGTTTAAAAATATTTAAAATTTCATCAAAAGGGGATTAGAGCCATCTTAAGCCACCATTTTTAAAAGTGTAAAACGAGCTTTTGTTATCGCATCAGCTGTTAAAGCTTTGGATCAAAGGGGGATCACCGAGAGAACTGTCGTTAAAACTAAGGTTTCGGGGTCTATTGGCTGATTATAAAATGTCCAATTTCCAGAGAAGCCAGATCGCATACGGAGCTGATATGAATGCGAATTTACATACGCCGAATCGCGATTGTCCGGGCCAACTAAAAGTAAACAAATAATAATCGCCCAGCACCAGCGGCAGAAACCGGTCTTTCAGTGAGATAGAGACACAGGCTGAGTCAGACGCTTCGGATTCTGGGAGATTAGTGTGCAAGTCGAGGATTCAGAATGTCCGGATTGTGCATTGGATTGGTCCTGCTAATAGGATTTGGCTACGCTAATGCCTACAAGATTCCCACACCCACAGTGGAGCTGTTGGAAAATGGTTTTAGCGTTTCTATTCCAGGTAAGAAAGGGGTAAGCCTTTTCAAGCTTCCCATCCTTTTCTTCCGATCCCTTGTGTTTTCTGGCGTGCACATAACCAACAGTAGTGTGCTTCAGATGATAATTACATATAAACATTGTTATCTCTTCTTAATGAGGAACAAATATTTTTTTTATATTTAATTTGGAAGTGTTTTTAATGACTGCTTGTTATTTTGTTTGTAAATCTCATAGATGAGGAAGGCGTGAGAGTGGTGGCATTTAATGTGAATCGCAACCGGAATTTCACTTCCTTTATTACCGAGGGACAGTACAATGTGCGCTTAACAAAAGCCGAGAATGGCAAATGGACAAATAACTTCACTTCAGTGCCTTTAAGGGCCCAAGATGTTCTATACCTTTGGACGACTGTCCAGCACCAGAAGGCTGTTTACCAGGATCTTGCCCAACCCTTGACAGTGTGCAATTTAGGTGGAAACTACCGCCCGAGAGGCTGCTCCCCAAATGACGAGGATATTGCAGACAACAACCAACTGAATATCGAAGGAGGCAATACGGAGTCTTCAGATCCCTCCGTCTGCGTTCCCTCTGAGAGTCAGGTTTCGCCACAAATAGTCGCTCCCTTGTGTAAGGGTCAACTCATCTTCGACGAGAACTTCGATCAGCTAAATGATTCCCTGTGGATCCACGAGGTTCGCTTGCCCCTGGATTCAAAGGATGCAGAGTTCGTCTTGTATGATGGGAACGCCAAAGCTCAAGAGGGCAACCTTGAGATTGAGCCAATACTGTGGTCCAGTTATCGCCCGGACCTGTCCATATCCAATTCCCGGCTCGATCTCTCGGAACGCTGTACGGGAACCCACAACCGACACAAGGAGTGTGTTCTACACTCGACGGGAAGTGGGCCCAGTGGCATTATGCCGCCAATTGTGGCACCCCGTGTGAGCACCAAGGAAACATTTGCCTTCCAATACGGACGGATTGAGATTCGGGCCAAGCTGCCGAAGGGGGATTGGGTAAGTCACTTTAATACAACCGCGTCCTGAAGTAAGTCTTGAGTCACCAGATAGTGCCCCTCCTGCTGCTGGAACCCCTCACTGAGTGGTACGGACAATCGGGCTACGAGTCCGGACAGCTGCGAGTGGCCCTGGCCAGAGGCAACTCCGTGCTAAGGATGCCCCGCGGAAAGCTCGTGGATGGAAGATCCCTGTACGGCGGACCCGTACTCTCCACGGATGCCCATCAGCGGGAGGACTTGTGGCTGAGCAAGCGAAAGATCTCCCACTTTGGCGATGACTTTCACACCTACAGCTTGGACTGGAGCAGCAACAGACTCCAGTTCTCGGTGGATGGACAGGTCTATGGGGAGTTGCTGAACGGCTTTACGGAGTTGGACGAGAATCCCAGGTGGAAACAGGGCGGTCTGATGGCCCCATTCGACAGGATGGTGAGTAGTTATAGCGATTGAGAAACCACATTTGTTTAACCAAATCTACCCTCAGTTCTACATATCTTTGGGTCTATCTGTGGGGGGCTTTGGCGACTTCGTGGACAATCTGCGCACCGCCTCATATGAAAAGCCCTGGAGAAACTACCATCCCCAGGCGAAACTTCAGTTCCACCAGGCCCAAGAGCAGTGGCTGCCTACTTGGAAGCAGCCCTCTCTAAAGATCGATTACATACGTGTATTTGCAAACTGATAATCCGTATAATTGTACATGGTAAAATATAATTACATACAAGTGTAGAAGCCAGGCGGAATCTTATCTCGAATAAAGCTCGCAGAGGAATTCAGAAAACTCACTTTATTCAGTGTTTTCCCGTATACGAATAGATGAAGATGAAATTATTACTGTCATTATTGCCGTGCCTGGTTGTTGGCTTGGAATCTTCTCAAGTGGCCCGGCTTTTAGTAAATTCGACCGAGAACGATCCTTGGATATGGGTATCGCACCCAGGTGAGAGAAAACCACTTTGGCGGTTAAAACAAATTGATTCAGCAAACTTTTAGAGGACGATCGCATTAGATCGGTTTTCTTCTACACTGAGTTCGAAGGAGGAAAGTGTCCCGCATACGATTACAAGTTCGACACCGATCTCGTTCATCCCTGGGCTATAAGGGAGTACCTCAACGATACTCTGAGGATTTCCACCATCACAGAGACCAATGTTAACGAGACCGTGCTTGAAAGCTACAGGATTAAGTCTTTAGGCAGCAAAGTTCTGGTGGAGCCTACGAGCCGAGTTTTTACCGTATCCCAAAACCCATCTGAGTGCGAGAAACTTCGTAGATCTATGAAGTACTGCCTGCCCACGATTTCTTACCACAATGAGCAGCCGATTAACTGCAGTGGACGTATAATATTCACTGAGAAATTTGGAAATAAGGAGAACCCGTTCAAGAATTGGAGACATGTTGTGCAATCTCAATTACTGGAACCGGATTACGAGGGTGTGGCGTTTGTGAATCGTCAAGCTAACTCGTTTGTCGAAAACAACATGTTGCACCTGAAGGTCACCAAATCAAACTACGGGTCGAAGAATCCATTCTATCTGCAGAACTGCACTTATAGGGACACCGATTCAAACCAGAGATGCGGCGAAAAGAATTACAGGCCCCAGTTCAGGAAGTTCTTTCCGCCCTTTGATTCGGCTAAGCTGCAGTCAAAGGACACATTTAAGTATTGCAGAATCGACATTGAGGCCAAAATGCCCATAGGGAACCTTCTTTTTCCAGGTAAAACACTTTTACCTTATTCCTGGCATTAGTAGCTTTCCTATGAAAGATTTTTTTAAATTATATCAAACTTTAAAGGACTGACGCTGACATCGATCGATCAGGATGCCATTCGAATTGCCATTGTTCGGGGTAATAAGAACCTAAGTGACTTTGCTAGCAACGAAATCGGAGGGTCTTCACTCTTTGCCGGAGCAATTCTCATAGAAGGTAAAGGTCGGCCCTATGAAGTGGAGGAATTTTCCAGTAGAAGCGATCACTTCGGAAATGATTTTCATACCTACACGGCTATTTGGAAGGAACGGAGTATAATCTTTAAGGTAGATGGGCGCACCTTTGCTCAAATAAAAAACGAAACAGTCGTTAAAAGTCTGAGTCAAATAGAAGTAAGTATCCCTTTGGTATATCAGCCACTTTTCTCTAATATGAATGTGATATTTTTTTAAAACCTAAACTAATCAGCGTCGCATTGAACTATTTTTAACTGTTGGAGGAGAGTACAATTTTCCGGACAATCGCATTCCAACAAACTTTAAAAGCTATCGTAATTTTGACACTGGCTTATCCTTTAAAATAAAGGACGCTGTTAAAAAGGGTACGAACTGGGAGCAAGCTGAGATGATAATTAAAAACATTAATGTTTTTTCCACTGATGAGTACGAAGACTAAATTTAAAGCATATATATAAACTATAAAATATAATAAATACAAAGTTAAACATCAGAATTACCATACTGTATGTTTATATTAATCTCAAACTGTGCTTTATGAGTCTTATTTTTTGAAAAATGATAAAAATTGTTCTATCTCAAAAACCACTAATAAAAATTTACAAAAAATGTTAACCGCCTGCATCTAAATAAGTTATTTAGTAGAAAGTGAAAACCAAAGCATTCTTTTGTTTGCAGATCAGACTTTACAGCGGTCTTTATTTTTTTACAAGTGAACAATAATTGATTATGTATGTACATATGTATTTTAATCAGAGAATGCAATAACCCCACGTTATCAAATCGGCTTCTTGACTGGAGTCTTTATTAAATTATTTAAATCTAGTAAGTCAGTCTTAAAATAACTGCCATGAGGAGAAAGTGCGTTTTACTGGTAAATCTCGTTTATCTAATAGCAGCCTTGAATATACCACATCCAGTGGTAAATGTTGACGACAAAACGGTTTTCATTAAGTTGCCCGGAAAATTGAGAGAAATAGAGTCGGTTTTCTTTCAAGCGGAACTATTTGGAGATGAGTGCGTTAACAATGCATATTCATTTAAAAACCAAGGTCCCTGGGCAGTGAAATTGGAGTTACAAAACACTATAGAGCCCGATTCCAAGCTAAGAGTTCATGTCGTAGTAGAAGAAAGGGAAAACATAACAATTCAGACATCAGTTTATGAGATTAACAAAAATGGATCAGGTATTTTGATAAATGAGACTGGATTGGAGACGAATATCGACTTGAAAGATCTGGAAAAATGCAAGCATGTTAAGATCTACAAAGTAGAAACTTTATCAGAGACTTCTTATAAAAGCGGATTCTCGAGCGGCGATTTACTCTTCGAGGACAATTTTGATGACAATAAAAACATTACGGATAATTGGAAGCATGAGGTTAGATATCAAAATACTGGCGGAAAGAATCAGGAGTTTGTGGCCTTTGTGGCGGACCCAAGTAACTCGTACATAACCAACAACAAACTGCATATCAATATTACCAAAGAAGAGAAAGAAAAGACCCTTCATGGTTGCACCAGCAAAAAGTGGGTCTAGAAAGGCAAAAGGAATGTGGGACGGGCTCAAAAAGAAAGAGGCGAGAGCCATGGGTCTCCAAGACCTTCAGATCCGCCAATATGCACACCGATTTCACCTTTAAATATGGTCGAGTGGAGGTCAGAGTTCAAATGCCCAGAGGGGATTGGTTATTCCCAAGTGAGTGCTTAAAATATCAGTATCTACTATTTATCATATAAAAACATTTTTTGTTTGTGGTAAATGCATAAAGTTTCTCTTTTGTTGTTTAAGATATTCTCCTTGTTCCGAAAATCGACAAGTCTCAAGATGATTTCGTTGATCATATTCGATTGTACGTGAGGGGCAATACAATTTTGCAGGACAAACAACAATGCTCGTTAGACGGAACTTCTCTATTCGGAAGTATAGTGCTGTGGGACAAAACCGGAGTTGAGCCAAATCCAGTCGAGCACATGACCATCAGGAATGAAGTATTTTACTATGCGGATGGCTTTCACGACTACACAATAATCTGGCAGCCAGATAAAATTGTATTCGAGGTCGATGGAGAATTTTTCGGGGCCATTACAAATGCAACACTCCTTGAACCCTTTAATAAGCATGAGGTGAGTACAATTGTAAGCTTTTTGTAAAAGCATGATTTAATTGCATATTTTTTGGTATTGCTTATTTTAATATTCCTGTTTTATTTTAGTGTCGTCTAGTCCTGGGCTTAACTGCTGGTGGAAATGTTAATTTTAATGATGATGTCCTGGAGATGAAACACAAACCCTTTTCAAACACCCATCCTAAAGCAGAAAAACAATTTGAAGAAATGTCTAGAAACGCGATTTGGACCCCATTAGTGGTCGATCACATTCGTGTTTATGCAATTGGAAAGACTGCAAAATAAACATTCGTGTGTTCGGGAGAAATATTTTAGCTTATTAAACTTCTTTCCTTCTTCTTTTGCTTTCCTTTTAAATTGTGGAAAAGGTCTTAATTCGTAGAAAGAAAAATAGCTAATAAAATATAGAAAACACAAATTTAGTTTAGGTCGCATTTTGCATTTCTTGGTCAAGCATTTTTATCAGAAAGCATCCTTTACTCGTTGTAAATGTCCTGTTCTATGGCAAAGACCAATCTGATGAAGATTTTTATTACATGCTAAAAGGTTTTGCCATTGTTCTTTTTGGAACCATTGTTCCGGGAGTTCTGGTTAGATTTCTTTCGGCGCTTGTCGGACGACCAGTCCACGTCGTCCTCGTCGTCGGTGCCCCCGGCGTTTCCGGCGGAGTGAAGGTGGGCGGATGTGGCACCTTCTTTGGTGGCTAGGCGGCGGGACGCGATTCGCGACGATATTCTGCCCATGCCCATGCACTTTTCCAGGTGCGGAGCGAAGCGGGCGGCGGCCACCAGGCGATCACAGTTGGGACAAGTGCAATCCATCGGCTTCTTGGCCGTCGAAATGCCGAATATGTCCAGATTGGGCATCTCGCAGATGCGGTAGCTCGAGTCCTCTGGCACTCCATCCAAGGCGGCCAGGTTGCCCGATTTGCGCAGGTGGTGTGTCTCGATGAAGATCCCAGCCACGGCGTCGTCGAGCAGCGTTTGGTACAGGTAGTTTGCAGCCTCGTCTAGATTCTTCGGCTCCTTGATCAGCTCCCGGAAGTTGTTTACTATTGCAGTACTGGTTGTGGGAACTTGATTTCCCGATCCTTGGGCACCTGGCGTTGTCGGCATGTTGGCTGCAGACATAATAGTTGGTGCAAACACTTTGTTTATTTGCTGTTCTGTTACTTCTTGTCTGTTTTGGAAGAATTTCTTGGCATGCCGGTTGTTGTTGGTGAAGCAAGTTGTTAATTTGTTTATTCGGCTGATTGCAGAACTGTGGGGTTGCCAGACGGTAGCTGGAAAACATCTGAAAGAACTAGTTCCAATCAACGAGCAAATTTTTCAGTATATTAAGGTCATTGACTAATATAATTTTAAACTTTTTTAATATTTTTATGTTACGTAGATTTAATAGAAAAATATCCGTTAGGAACATGAGTTGTACAAGTGAACTGGTTCTCTTTCAAATTAACGACACCTCCAATCTGGTATGAAAACTGACCCACCTGGTCACACTGAATGGCTTGCAACCCGTAAACAAATTAAGAAATAATTTCTTTAAAAAAAATGCTTCTAAATAAGAAGGCACTTATGTACAAACAGCTAGTGGAAAAGCTCTACGATAAATGTCAGAGGATTCAGGCGGAAAATGAGCGCTGTGTGATGAGGTAAGCAGCAACATTAGTGCAATATAAAAAGTAAACAAACATGTGCACAACTCATCTTCCAGGGTAAACGGAATCAAAAAGATAGTGAGACGACGCAATCGCGATGTGGAGCTGTTGAAAAAGAGACTGGACAAGCACGGAGACAATTGGCGCTCAGTTCCCATGGTGGCCCAGCATCCAAAGGGAAAAACAGAGCAGAAGCGTCGAGGACCCAAACCCAAGAACAAGCAGTCGGCGGATGGAACAAGTGCACCCGGATCTACACCTGGACCCAATCCTCCAGCGGCACGCAAGCCCCGCAAGCAACGTGCCAAGCAGCAGTTGACCAATTTCCAGCCCACCATCCCGCCTCAGCACTCCCAACCCCAACCGGGGACCTAAAATATAACTTTTTCTGACACTATTTTAAGAACTAAAGCTATTACAGAACCGTATTTAAAAAAAAACTAATTTCACTTTTCAACTGTTCTGTCAGCTAAAACTCGGACAATTTAAATTTTGCTATAACTATTTTTGTTCACAGATTTAAGAATTCATCAAATAAGTGTTTTTTTTCATATGTTCGAAAGATAGCATCTTCTTTCTCAAGAAACATGGTTAATTGTAATCTGTCTTAACTTACATAATTGTTTTTGGATAAAGTCAAACCTTTGAAGAAGTACAAATCATTTAATTTAGGAACAAACTGATATCGAGTCTGAAACCATTTAAATGACATTGTTAAGCTATTGTAAGCCTTTATTAGCCTTTAATTTTTAATTGCTTTCGTAATTTAATGAAGGAAACAAAGATGTAATCAAAAATGAAAAAAAGTAGTTTATAAGACAACTGATTTGAAAACCTTTTAAGATTCGTGAGTCATCTGTTAGGTATAGTAAGTAGTAGCATATTTCAGCTAAGTGGATTTGACAAGAATACAAAAGTCTGTGGGTTCTCAATAGATTTTTTACTTATCGGCTCCTCTTGGTGGTAAGCCATGTATAAACGAAGCATCCTCAATCACTGAATTTAAACTTATTTATATTTTGGATGTACTTAATTTTAATTGCTAAAACAGAGAAATTCAACGGGCAGCACTTCACTCATCTATTCGGCCTGACGAAGACGAGCCAGTCGCTGGGTAAGCTCGTCCTGTTCCTGGGATACGGCTGTTGAGGCTCCAACCGTCTGGCTTTGGACTCCGCTGGGTAGCTCCATGTTAAGCTCGAGGCCAGCCTCGTCTGCCACTTGCTGAAGCAGATTATCGACATCTCCCTGGGGCACTGAGGTAGTCACTGTGTCAGACATGGTACCCTCCATCACGGAACTCTGCACGTCCAGGTCCTCGAACTGCGACTCGAACTTCTCCATGAGTGAGGAGATTTTCTCCAGGTTCATGCCCTTCATAGCTGCATCCATGGCCTTAACCACGCCGGCCATGGAGCCGGTGACCTTGCGTGTGGTAAGGGCGGACTGGACCCTGCTGGCCACAGCGTCCACGCGAGCACTCATTCGGAGGTAGTTAACAGCCTGGTTCTTCTGCCGAATCGCGTTCTCTGCGTGAATGCGGGCCACGTCCATGTTGCCTTTTTGGATCGCCTTCTTGGCCTTCGCCTTCTCCAGTTTCTCCTCCTTTTCGCATTTCTTTGAGTTGCGCTCGAGCTCCTTTACGGCAAATTTTAGATTGAAAAGATGTTCTGCGGGCAAAAAAAAAAAAAACAAAGGTGTGGGTGATTGCAAATTCTTTGTCTGGCGTCATCGCCCTGCTCCACTTACTTTCCATTGAACTCGTAGACATGTCGTTACCCAGTTTGACGAATTTACACTAACGAATGAAGAAGCAAAAGAGTTCTGGCAGTTGGTTTGCAGCCTAAACAGGAGGAATTTTTATCAATTTACGTTGTTTTTATTGGTATGAATCACTTCTGTTTCACAGAATTGGTGTGACCAGGCGTGGGAAATACCCAATGAACAGCTGTTCTGCTTCACGTGCTGTTGAGCGCCAAGCCAGGTGCTGTTAAATATTCAAATCAGGCTGTTACATTTTTTAAATTCTGTTAACTTAAAATACTTACATACAATATAAACTGTTCTCAAAAACCGAGCATATCGCTCTTATTATCATCCTTTGAGGTTCTTATATAAATTTATTTGAGTTACAACTTTTTCTTGTATGTATGCGTGTATGCGTTCTGAGAAATTAAGTCAAATGCTGCGGTTAAATTTATACTACACAGTTTACTCTTATTGGTTTCCCTAAGTACATACTTGTTCCTGATGAAGAAAACAAATATATATTTTTAACGAAGTGTCAATACTTCACATCAGTGAACTTAAATTTAAGTGGAAAATTAGGCTTGTAAAGAAATGTAGTCTTAAATGTCGTTTCGGTGGGATAATCATATTCTATGTGGAAGTTTCGCACCAAGTTGGCCACAGTAAGCTCGAGCTCTAGATCCACAATCCTCTTACCCACGCACATACGTGGCCCAAATCCGAAGGGCAAGTAAACAAAGGGATTCAAACTGTTGTTGATCAGGACATTTGCACTGTCTTCGTTGCCATCCTTTTGACGTAGCCATCGTTCCGGGAGAAATTCCTCTGCCCGGGGAAATAAATGCTCATCCTTCAGTAAAAAACTGTTAACCATAAGAAGATGAGTTCCTTTTGGAACTCGATATCCATATAGTACAACATCTGTTCCGGCGGATCGGACATTTCCAATGATCACGGGATAAACGCGCATAGACTCCTTGATGAAGGCCCTTAGATATGGCAGCGATTTCATATCTTCCAAGGAGAAATCTCTGTCTGTCGACGGCAGTTTGCCCAAAATTTCCTTCCTGAGAATTTGCTGCTTTTCCGGATTTTTCGCCAGGCTAAGTAATAAGCCCACTATTGCCGTGCTGGTCGTATCAACCCCACCCATTAGCATATCCATGGCCAAAACAATGGCGAATTTCCTATCAATTTGAAGCAACTGCTCTAGGACACTCTTCTCATCCTTTGTGCTTCCCTGCGCCGTTTTCCTTTCAATCCTTTCAATTGCCTTGTTCACATACATTGAACATGTATCGAAGATTTCATCCGAAGCTTGACTGAACCGTTTATAGGTGGGTGTGGGAAAGTACTTGTAGATTGACGGTTTCATGCCCAGTATAAAAAACGAATCCATGAAGACTTCAATGTTCTTAAAAAGTTTCCTGGCCCCGGGAGGCTGATTGACTTCCCGAAGGAGTCCCAGTTCCTCGTCAAGCGCCACTGTCGCTACGGACTCGAAGGTCAGATGGTTGACAGTGCTCAGAAAGTCGGCGGGAACTTCAGCGGAATCCTTATCGCGCAACTCCCGGATGCGATTGATAAACTGCCGATTGACCCGCTGCATCGGTTTCAGGTAGATAGCCACATTTCGATGTTGCATGAGGACAGGATTCACAGCGCTTCTCAATTTTCCCCATTGCGGGCCACTGAAATGAAAAATGCCTGGTTAACAAATTGACAATTTTAAATAGGTGCAGATGGAAAAAAATACTTTACTTTGTAATAAAAGGACTTTAACCTTGCAAGTTAATACTATTTTGTTTAATTTCCAAATTGACTGCATCATACTTATTGGTTAACACTGTATAAGACAAGTAGCAAAAGGAGGCAATTTTACTCACTTGCTAAACAGCCCCACGCAGTCCTTGAAAAATTCGTCTTTCCGATTTTTGCGATAGTGGAGGACAGGCTCGGCGCCTTCTCTCACGGGCCACTGACCTTCCGTGCGATAAATCCTCTGGAAGGTGGCCTCATTAAATGTGAATATAGTAGAAGGCATGCCGAATAATCCGGGTATCAAGCATATGTCGCCGAACTGCTTTCTATAAAGGCGCATCACTTCATCCATTCCCAGTTGGTGGTACTGTCCTCCCTTTTGGAAGCCACGAAATATCTGCCACCTCGTCGGGCCGGGAAGTTCCGAAAAGGGCTTCGCCGTTTCCCATTCCGCCTCCAGCTGTTGAACGTACGAGGATGTATCGGGATTTCTGTTTACCGCCAATCTGGAACTGGCCCTCAAGCCTTGCTTCACTATAGCACGCAACATCGTCAAATCTCTCAGTAGAATGATACTTAAATTAATAAACAACAATCAAGAAACCTTAGAGGTGAAGCTTTTAAGTAATTGCACAAGGTTAAGCAACGAGTGAGAGGGCTTTTCAATAGCATTATCTTTGTGCTTTTCGTAAGCTTTTCTCTTGAGATCGCGGCAAATAATTTCGTTTTTAATATAGGTAATACTATTTAAATAGGGGTTATCTGATTTAACTTATATTCTTTACTATGATCTTGCTTAATCGATTCAGGTAAACTTTATTTCAAATTCGATTTAGGTTCGATTAGGCATGTAGAATCATTATAACTTGGCATATACAAATATTTTTAAATTCGATATAACAATCTACTTTATGGCTTTTAAAATATTCAAAATAGTTTTATGATAATTTATATTGATAATCACGAGCGGGTTCAATTAGATTTTCCGGATTAGGTTTATTTTGCTCTGGCACTGGCCCACCAAATGCGAAATCTCTGGTTTTGTTCACTCCACAACGTTGTTTCCCGCGCCCATCAATAAAATATAAGTCTCAAACGCTTGCATTGGAACATGGGGGACAAAAGCAAAACGCATTTTATGTGAATTTCAAAAACAATAAGCCAAAACAAAAGGGCCAAATGGCCGACCACACAAACACTCGAGCGTAGGGATAAATCCCGAACAATAGGAAGGGGGTCTATTGTTTCGGCCAACTTTGTGCAGCAATCGGAGCGCCCCGAACCCCCTACCAACAATCATTCCCAACTGACCACCGGAATGTATTACATATTAGGTCTGATAACACGTTACCGGCTTAAATTATAGCCCAGGTCCTTTATGGCAACAGCCACGCCCCCAAGTCCACCTGCCTAAAATTGGGAGTATATTGTAAACACCAATTTGCCTCGACTGCTCCATATCCAAGGGAGGATATACACCAGGTATCGCTGTCCTTTATTTACTGCAACTTTATGGCGTGTGGGATCAAATTTGAAGTGCCTTGTTAAACTCACTTGTTTAAGTTTTTTATCAGCGACATACGTACTAAATTCTAAGCATTTGTATTTATATTTGTGTGTTTTACCGTGCGCTTAGCTAAATTGAATAAAATCAATTTCTTAATTTAAATTTTCTTTTAAGCCTTAAATTCTCTTAAGTTACTATTATTTAAATATCTGGGGTAAAAATGCAAATAACTTAAACAGGATAAAAGCAAAAAGCCACCCTTAGCTTGTAGGTATAAATTGTACACAAATTACACAATTGACCGCCGAACAAGCCGCAAAACTTTGCCAAATTAACTGCGACTGTGGCGCAAACACATAAAAAAAGTTTTAACATAAATTTTGTAAATTATTATAAATATTGTTTGGGCCGTGCAAGTTGGTCCGCACAGAAATAAAATATACAAAAATACACGAGGTACATAATATAAGCTATGGATTATAGGCGTGTCGCCGAAATACAATGAAAAGAATTGATCTAAACAATACTATTGTATTTTTATGATTTACTAGAAAGTACTGTATAGATAAAATATAGTAAGGAAGTCCTTGCAAAAATATTCCAATTGATTGCAAAAGCGGTTTAATATTTCAGCAGTCTCGAAAAGTTCGCCCATTAAAGACCGAAACTTGCTCGTTCAACAATTACTGACCCAAATCGATGTCAGACCACTCGAAGGGTTTGCATTAATCTGCAATAACTCTTCCATTTGCCTGTCATAATCGAAATCTAGCCAAACTGTCACTTGAGTGGAAATGCTTTGACATTATCATAACTGCATCAGATGTTCAATAATTTTTCCCTTCAGTTTTTCCCGCCTGCACTCTTCAAATGGAATCTGCCACGGAGACACCTAGAGACCAAAGGCAAACAGCCGGATTTCTTTCTCCCATTTTATTTTTTCCAGACTTTCCTCCATCTTTTCCTGCTCTTTATCACGCGCCCAATTTAGCGTAGGGGGACGGGAGCGGCGGGGAGGGACTGGGCGGGCATTCAGCTATAGCTTTTGCTATCCAGATCCCACAATCGGGGCCCAGACAGTCGCAGCCCCGCCCAGTTCCAAGCCCACTGCCAAAGGCAGCGAAGAGATTAAATCAGCGCAAAGTGCAAACACTGTGTCAAGTGTAGACCAAGCGGAGAACCCGGCTAAAGACACACGCCACCACTGGGCCATTGATATGGCCATGGCTGTTGGAGAAGAGCACACACTCTCAAAATAAAACGGATAAATGTCAATCAAATTAACTGGCAATGCGATATGCAGCGATAGTGGAGCAGGTAAACCGGATAGGAGTCCTTTCTTTTTAAGATACCTGCCTTGGTAGCAATAAATTAGTCTGCGTAGTTTTTATGGGAGTCCCAATGGGGAGTTCAGATTGAAGGGGATTTTGGTTACGATTTGGAGCCAACTAAATTGAATTGTTTTCTTAAATGTGCTCAGATGTATAATCAAAGTGTTAGGTCCTTCAAAGCAAATACAAGTAGTTCTATCAAGCAGTTAGCTATTTGTATAAAATATTAATCGCCCTAACAACCGTTGAAAGCCTGGAATAATTTGTTAAAACTTGTTGATACTGGTAATACCATTTGTTTTAAAAGTGTTTCCCATCCATTAACAAATAACAAGTGTTATATTCTGCAAAGTAAAACTCAAACTGGTGGGGAAAACCAAAGAGGATTACCCACCTAAGGTCTCAGCCATATGGGAATAAATTACTAATGAAGACAACAAAATCAACACGAAGAACGCGAGGCAAACATTAATTATTGCAGTTTTTTATTTACGTAGAGCGGGCTGCTCTGTTTGTGCAGAACTAAATGCAAACAAATGTGGAAAACACAGAGTAATTAAGTTGCATATCAGGGACTGAAAGGGAAAACTTTGCTGAATGTTTGTAAACAGGAAATGGGGCAAAAAAATCCTTCCCAGCCTGATATTTTTTCTACATTTTAAATGCTTTCCGAGCAAGTTGCCCATGGCTTGGGGCAACAATTTAAGGCGCATTAACTGCAGGCAACAGGAAACCATTTCAGATAGTCCTCTGATAATTACAAACAGACAGACAGTCAATAGAGTCCCGCCCATCCCCCCGCCCCCTTTCGTTCTGTCAGTCATCAATCGGGATCTCCATCCGATGACATGACCCGCCGCTGGCCACGCCCCCTGGCTAACCATAAACCATCGATTGTGGGTCAAATTGCGTTGCTGCGACATGGGGTCCTGGGATCCCTGGTCCTCTGCCCCCGGATGACAGTCAACAATCGGAGCGCCATCTTCATTATTGGCAAAAGCCACGCATAATTGCTCGGCAGTGGTTACTCAACTGACTTTGGTTGTGGTTTTGCCTATATCTCTATGACTTTGGGCTATAAATTTAATTCAACTTATAGTAATGTTTAATGCGGTTTTGATAGGCAGCATCTAATGCTCACAAAATAAATTGCGCTCTCCTTATAACCAAAAACAAAAATCTTTTAGGGAATTATAGGAATAAATAAAAAGCAATATGAATAAGTTGCATGATGCATCATTGTTTTGCAGTGCTATGCCTACAAGATTTTTATATCTAAGCTCAAAACTATTTCTTGAATAATGAAATTCCCCATCAGCTTAACTTCGGCTTCCCTATTCTCCCCGACAATAATTAATTCATTAGTTGCACTACCCAATTTTCCTACTAATTTTTGTGCTAACAAATCTGTCATGTGGCGGTGTCCTCAGCAATTAGCTGAGCCCCTGCTGAGAACCAACTAGGCTTAACACAGTCTCCTAGCACACCCTTTAATCCCCGCCATCGCCATCGCCGATGCATTGCATCCACGTTGCGGGAGGCAAGTGGCAAGGGTGGGTGGCAAGGATGTCTGACTTGCACCGCCTGTTTTGGGGGCGCTGCACGGCACGACATAGTTCCATTAAACTTTCCACGATAACGCGCCAAACTTTGCGCCCAGCAAAACTCTCAGTAATTTGCAGGAAGCCAGGACCCAGCACGCTTCCCGCCCAGAAGCCGATGGGAAGCCCCCTTTTGGCCGTAAGTTAGGCCCTGCACTAATCAAGCGCTGCATATCAGACCAAAGGCAAGCCAGAATGGCAGCAAGGCAGCAAGGCAGAGCGACTGCCCCGCTGAGGCATTTATTAATAACGCGAACTTTAAATAACCCAGCAGAACTTAAGGCAGTCGGTTCCTGCACCGACTTTTCCGCATCTCCGCCCCTCCGCTGTGGTTGCCAGATAATTGCGCATACGCCACGTTGTCGGCACTGAATGCCCGGAGCCACGGGGCTCGAACGCTTGTCTGGGCATTTTCGGAATATCCGCCACTCTGCCGACCCGTGTTCTGCATACTATGCTTTTCGGGCTGGCGGATATCCTGATCGTCTGGTACTGGAAGGAACCGCACTTAATTGCTTATATTTATGAGAGCTATTCCGATTTCAGGTCCAAGAACCAGTAAAATATAATAAGGTACAAAACAGGTGGGGTTACTAGAAAAAAAGGTATTAAGGGGAAGGATTACTTAATGTTTAAATATTTCATACAAATCAGGTAACATAAGTTTTAGTTTTTTAAAGAGTTGCCAATCAGTGGATAAAAAATTTAAACAAGAACTAATATCGTTGATTGCCAGGATATGTTAAGCAGTGCACTTTCATCGAACTACATTTTAGATTGAATGCTGGCTGTGTGAAGCCAAAACCTGCCTTTATCAAGCCATCGAAGCGATTTCTTTTGCAGAGCATTCAAACACGTTGTAAACTATTTTGGCCTCGAACAGTTTGTTTGGCCAACAACTGCAGTGAATTCGCAGCTGTTTGTATAGGGTGTTTGTATTGCTGTTATTATTATGGCACATGTTGCCCAGATGCCCGGGCAGGCCAAAATGCTGGCCTTATTCGGACCAAGGGCCAACTTGGCTCGTCGGTGCTATCAATCTTTCGCCATGTTTTTTCATTACTTTGTTTTTTCGTTTTGTTTTTTTTGTTTTTGTATTTTGGCTTCCTGCCAAGTTGCATTATCGTAAAATGGAATTTAGAATTTTCGTAGCACTTTGCGGGAGCTCCGGTTGCTTCGATTCGTGACGGGGGTTCGGGGTCTGGTCCTTTGAGTGACTCCTGCAACGGCTTTGACCAGTTGATTGTCGCACCAGCAAGGACCTCTAACCCTTTAACCTCTGCCCCGTTTCCCCGGACTTTCCTGGGTCATTTGCACTTGCCACCTGTGATCCCTGTCTGCAGTTGTTCCAATGTTGATATTTTGGGCAAAAACATTTCTCAAAAGAGTTCAACACGAAAATTGGCCAAGAAGAGAAAAAGGAGTAGAGCGACCAGACAAGCCACAAAAGGCAAAGCAGACAAAAAAAACGGAAAAACTTGATAGAATCTTCCGACACTCCCCGCCGCCTTTGTCACACTTTCCCTCCGAATTTCCCTGTTTTCCCGACTGAGTTTGCCAAGTTTGTCGGCTTGCAGCTGCATTACATGTGGTTTGAGCGGAGCGGCATCGACAGCCGTTGCAAGATCTTGTTTGTTGTACTTACTTGGCGAAAGTTTGCCATCACAAGAAGGAGAGGAGCTGCCAGCAGGCGGAGTGCCATGGGGCTTAGCAGGGACTTGCGGCAAGAATATCTTGGCCGAGTTCTGACAGACTGTTGCATGCGCTGCAACTGCAAGGCGCAGAAATTGTGGTGCATACTTAAATGGTTTCTTTCAACGAGGTTTAAAATGAGAGGTACGACCAGCTGTTTAACATTTAAATTGTGTTATCTGTATTTGAAAGCCTTATTTAAAATAGCTTTACTTATAAACATTTATAATCCTGTGTTTAAATCGTTCTACGCGCATTATCTAAACCGATATTTACCTTTTTAAAAAATAATTACCTTTTAATATAACTTCATTCTCAGCTCAGCTTTCTTAATAGAAAGCAAATGTTTAATTTTGTTATGGCTTTTATTTCTATGAGTTCAGCAAACATATAAATGTTACTTAAAGATTTCAAATTTTTCCTTTCACCCTTTTTATTTAATACCTTGCTAATTTTTTTTACGCTTTTACGCGCATTATCTAAACTGATATTTACCCTTTTAAAAAATAATTACCTTTTAATATAACTTTTAGTTCTTTCTCAGCTCAGCTTTCTTAATAGAAAGCAAATGTTTAATTTTGTTATGGCTTTTGTTTTTATTAGTTAAGCAAACAGATAAATGTTACTTAAAGATTTCAAATTTTTTCTTTCACCCTTTTCATTTAATACCTTGCTAATTTTAAGCTCTTTAAGAATGGTAGTCCAAAAAGCTGAATTTAAATTCTTTGCATCAGCTGCTAAAAGTCAAGCTTAAGTACAAGTCCAACTGCCTGGGAGTAGACTCTACCCTTCATCGGTTGTCCGAAATGGCCTAAACAACTTCAATATGCAATTTTCTTCGACTGACAACTTTTTGTAGCCTCTTAGTCAGGCCACAAACTTTTCTAATAACCTAAGATACTTGCAAACAGACACGCAGAGGATCTTTTCAGGGCTCGGAGCGGGTTTCACAGAATAATATGTGCTACCAAAAAATTTCAGAGGAAGGCAGGGCAAACAAACCGTCGATGCTGAGACATATCAAATTGAGGCGTTATTTCGAAAACTTTCAAGGAGCGGAGCATTAAATTTGCAAAAGTAAATTTGCAGAGCGAGTTAGCTGGAGAGAGAGCGAGTGCATACGTGATATATTATTTCCCATTACGCGCAAATTGAAAAGCTCAATGAAATGAAAAACAAGAAGACCAATTCCGAGCACAAATAAAGAAGTAAAAATATTCCGCTAACGCAGGCAAAAGTGTGTAAGAAAGTGGGGCCTGCGTAAGTTTAACTGCCTTTCCCCACCTCCCCCCTCCCTCCTCAAGTCGCCGTAGTAACGACTAACTGGAAAATGAGATAAATCTATGAAAGGACAGAAAATAGAATGGCTTATTGTGTTAGTTTATTTGCGCAGTAGAAATTTATGAATCCATTTTTTAGTGCTCGCTCATAAAAATTCAAATAAATAAAACCATCGCTGTAGCTATTGTTTTTTCAATTGCAATTCGGCATTGTGCACTGAAATTGCAGGCAGTAAAATAAATGGCGAATTGATTGATTGAGCACTTGATTGATGGCGCTGCGCTTTCGACGCCTAATGAGGAAACCATTTGCAGCGCTGAAAAGTATGCCATAAATACTGCAGTTCATCATTTAGCGCTAGCAGGATTTATTTTGTTTAAGTTTTGGTCATGCTGCACATTCAATATTTATACTAATAAATTACGGTTTTTTTAAATGTCATATTTTTTGTTGAGGCTTATAAGCCAATTTAACGAAATGCTTTCAATTTATATTGCCAAAAAGGAACAAAAAAATTAATTCGTTTTTCATCTTTCAAACTGCCTCCTGTTTTCGAATTAATCTTCGGTTAAATTACCCTTAGATCACTTAGACAATACAACTACCTACAGAACAGGAAGTCCCTAACTGTTGGAGCTAACTTTTTAATTTAAAGATGGATCCACAATTTGAGAGCCACCCAATCTGTCCGCATTTTGCCCACGAGTCTCGCAACTTCCCTGCCCCACCGAAAGCAACTTTCTGCGGCGCCCCGCAGCCCTGCCTCTAATATGTCCAAAAGTTGCTACCAATTTCGAACTGCAGCTAGGTGGAGCGCACTCGCATCGGTTGCTGATGCCTAATGGCCGTGATAATGCCATGACAACTGTGTGAGCATCGGAGGACTCCCCAAAGTTCTGCAGGCGAGTGCGGGCCACGAAACTATGCCAAATTACTCAACAACGTTGCAACACCTGCGTGGATGTCACTCAATGCCATTCCTGATCGCCGCGCTGCAAGTTTGGAAACTGCGCAGCAGGGAAAAGGAGGAGCTGGCTCAATTAGTTCGGACTTCTGGCCAGCAATTAGACAGCGTGGAGCGCTCATGTTAATGGCCGAAACTCGAAATGACACAGGGCAGGAGGGATTCAAAGAGAAAGTCTCTGAAGGAGGTACATTTTCTGAAAATGCAAATTCATCTTTCCCAGTAAGTTGGCAACTATTTTCGTTAAAGAAACTTTTACTAGTTTCCTATGGGTACTTAACATATAACAGCTAAATAAATACTGAGAGGATGACAAGCCTGTGATTTTAGGGTCAACATAACATATTTCTTCTGCCAAATGTATTTTGAGTGAGTTGTCTTCAAGTTGTGCCATTAATAACAGTGAATTTAAAGTCAGTTAAATAAATACATTTTAAACTTTCAAAAATCTAAATTTGATGTTGTTTGTCATCAGTGAAGGACGACTAATGCCGGAAAGGGCGAGATTCCCACGCCAGTACCTGTTTCGGCCAAACACACAAAAGTATACATTCACTTGCTTGTCAAATTAATCCGAATCGGAAAAGTCCCCTGCGAGACAGAAAAAAGAAGATTGATGGACACACGAGTAGAAAGAGGTATAAAGTCGAGAAAGTGGCAGATAGAACAAGGATCGGCAAGCTGGCGATAATACATCGATGCTCCCATGTCGAAAATATCGAGCCGGAGTAAGTTCCTCTGAGTGCGTTGGCTGTATTCTCACCACTCCTTTCCAGGATAATTCCGCGTTGGTGGAGCGGCGGAGTAGCTGGGGCTTTTGCCCAATTTTTTACGGCACCCTTCGACCTCATCGAGTCTCGAATGGTCGTCAGCCATAAAGATGTGGGCATGGCTTCCAGCTTGAGGAGCGCTGTTCGGAAGCATGGTAATTAATCCACTACAAATCAACTATGAGTTCAAGCAGCTATTACAAATAACACCAACTTATTTATTGGTTTCACTGATCAATTCTATACTGTAAACATGAAGAAGACACTTTGGTTGTTTTCCTTCTTCGGTTTTTTGTCCGTTATCTTTCGCTGTTAAACCAAATCCATGCTCGTTTTCGAGCCCAGAATCGAACTATCGGTAGATCGAGAAAATATATCGTGCGATAGTTTAGCTAAAGTTGAATATACTTTAATAATTTGCTTATATACAGCGCTGGATTAAGGACAGGGCCGAGGGGCCGCGGGCCGGGGCCCACACATTTTGGGGGCCCACACAAAAATACAAAAAAATAGGTATTTCAGTTCTTTAATGCAGAAATCGTGTTGCGCTTGTACCTATCGATGAAGGTGACAAATTTAATGAGTGAAAGATCGATTTAGAAAATGGAATTGTTCCAAAATCGACTTCGTTCGAGCTTGGAAGAAGATCGACTGGTTCACTTTTGATAATATTGTTAAGAATTTGAGAATTAAAAATGCCGTAAAAAGTCTTTTTAATATAAAAATTCGAAAGTACGTTTGTTTTTACTGTATGCAGATGCCATTTGAAACAATTTAATTATGTTTTACTCTACCCTTCTACTCCGTATTTGATAAGTAGGTTAAAATTGTGATAATAAATAAATAAAATGAATTGAAGACTTAATCTTTTTGCATAATGTAAATAATTTCTGAAAGGGCCCCACACATTGATCGAACCTCTGGCCCTCACATTCTTAATCCGGCCCTGATTATATATATAAAAATATCAACTCATTTTCTTCAAGGTTGCGAACGGTAGAGACTAATAATATTTCCACTTTTTTAGGTTTCTTTTCCCTGTACGACGGCTTGAGCGCCCAGTTGTTAAGGCAGCTAACTTACACAACGCTTCGGTTTCATCTGTACGAAGTGGGCAAGGATCAGATGGAAGATCCTGTGGACTGGCTGGATAAGATATTTGTAGCTGGCTTGGCCGGATGTACGTCAGGCATGGTGGGAATACCCACGGAGCTGATCAACACGCGGATGCAAGTGAACCGCGTCCTTCCCAAGAGACTTCAGTGGAACTACCGCCACGTCTTCCACGGCCTTTATCGCGTGACCAAGGACGAGGGATGGAGAGCTCTATTCCGTGGATGTCTTTTTGCGTTTGTGAGGTCAGGATTTGTCACCATCGGCCAGAATGGAGCCTACGATCAGGTGAATATTCACGAAATGTATTGAAGTGAAGTCATCAAATTAGAAAACAATAATTGATTTTTATTTCATTGACACTCTTATTTTTTCGGTTAACTCTACATTCTCAATATTCTTCCGTCAAATCTGCAGGCAAAGGAAACGTACATGGAATTATTCAAAATGAAGCACGACGACACATTTCTGCATCTAATAAGTTCTGTAACCGCTGCTTGTATCTGCGTTCCGATCGTCCAGCCCATAGAGAACTTGAGGACCCTCGCGATGGTGGACTCTAGTGGTTTGACAAAAGCGATGGGCTTTATGATGCGCTTCGGGCTGCGAGGTCTTTTTCGCGGCATGGTGCCCTGCCTACTGCGAATGGTGCCCAATACGATAATTACGTTTTTGACCTTCGAGCAAATCCGTGTTCGTTTTGGGTACTATGAAATCGAGGAGCTCAGCAGTTAGCACGAAGCCTCTGCTTCCACAGCTTGAATCATTAGGTCAGAAGGATCACAAGTATTTTTTAGTCTGTTCCAAAACTTTTTTACCATTGTCAATAAAAAGTAAACCAATGATTACATATTTGAATATTTTATAACATTTTATAATACATTATTGGGAGAACAGGAAATAGTTGGTAAATTTTATTTTAATTAAGTAAAATAACTAAGTAAGTTCATAATTATAGCTCAGCAGATCCGTGAGCAAATAAGACCTAGTTCTATGATCGGCGAACCACTGTTTGCTTACACAATCTCATCCCAACCCACTTGTTCTATCCTGCGACCTCGATGCATCCTGTTCACTAGTCAAATAATTGGTCACTTCCTGACTCCTGGCCCCGCAATCGTGTTTATTTGCAAAACAATCTCGGTCAGAGCGAGCCCAAATAAACGGTGTATGCCCCTTCATAAAGCATTAAATTCTACTTTGAATGCGCACACGAACCGGCCACAAAGCCCACACCGAAAACGGGTCAACAGTGCGTATGCGTTATATTTAATAATGCAAAACGATGCGAGCTTGCCCGACCAAAGCGGCTGCATAAATACAAGCTATGCAAATGATTCTAACAGCAAACAAAATGCGTTAGCCGAGCAACTAATAACCTGCCAAGCGGCGCAGAAAACAACGAACCGACGACCTCTGACCCCTTTCCCTGGCTTCAGCTTTTTGAGGTACAACTCATCGTCGATGCAATCGCAAGTCAGTCATAAACTTGGCTCCCAGCACTTATGCAAATTGTGCGAGCCACGTTCAAGTATTAGTTTGGGTTACAGAAGAAGCCCTGGCCAAATGCTACTCAAAAATAAAAACATATTTAAATAAAAACAAAATAAATAATAATAAAATTAAATACAATAACAGTGTGACTTAAATATAAAATTATGCGCTATTCTTATAAGTATTAAATAAAACCTGGCATATCCTACTTTAAAATAAAAATATTACTATAAAAATTTAAAAAAATCGAACAATTGGAAATGTAACATTTGTCAGAAAATTGCATTTTTGTTATTATTTTAAGTTATTATACTGTGATGATAAATGTGATGCTATACCAAGTATCATATACGGATTTGGGTTTTGTAATATCTAAAATATTATATCTGTGGGGCGGAGAGGTACAACTCACATTCGGCTTTATTGCGGCGCATTATTCTTATTCTTGCGCTGTGCTATCGTCCTAAAATTGCCTACTTACAAATTCAATTTCACAATGATTGCAATCACGATTAAAGGGTAGCAGAGAGTGGGTGCGTGTGCGGCAATGGCCGGAGTGTCCTCCATATGCTCACAAGCCACCCACAACAATGCCGTCCATACGTGCAACATTTACCGACGTTTACGTGACACGACACCCACACAAACGGCGCTGGAAGAAGGATGTGTGCCACGATGGGGGATCCCGCCATCGCTGTCCTGGCATTGTTGCTCATACGCCTAGTTGTCATCGTGGCGGCATCTAAACTAGAACTACACACACAGCACGTGCTGGCATTTAGCCTCAACTTTGATGGCACAACTGCGTCCTCCTTGTCAAGGAGTTGGACAAATTAATGTTCATTAGTCACGTTGCGAGTTGTAATCAATTTATAATGCGACCAGTTGTGGTTGATGTTTCGTTCGGCGGAAGGAAAGGGTTCTTTGGGTCAATGATCCAATGGCCACCGAACGTGTATAGAGCATTCGCAGAAAAGATTTTTGTTGGATGAATCAACCCAATAAATTATGTATTTAGTACCGAACTTCTCGGTATTTTGATGATTAAGTCAATTCTTGATTTTACAAAAAACTTACGACGAAAATGTTTAATATATTCAACTATTTTAGTATTTAGTGTTTAGTATTTAGTATTTCGTATTTCGTATTTATTATTTTTACCAAGTTGTTTTAGCGTTACCGGCAGACCAGAACAGAATCAAACAAAAATGCCTCCTCAAATTGATAGTCAAAGCTTTTAATCTTTCGAAATACATATGTTATGTTACAAATGTTTTAAATATAACATTCTATTTTTTTTTTTATAAAATCATTTCATATTTTATTGTCTTAAAACTTTATAAAACTAGTGTAAAATCACACATGATGTTAGACCCAGGCTTAGTTTTTAAAACCTAATCAGGGATCCATTCTTTCCGTAACTTTGCATATTCCGAAGCGAAGCCTTAACTGCTCGTACAAAACAAATAGCAATGTGGTCGCTGGAGCTTTCCTTACTATCGTGGGAACCAATCCACGGAAGGGTCCGATGAAGCCAAATCGCATCATGTAAACGCTCGCGTGGAAAAGATTCCGGAATTCGCCGGGTCTGGCGTTCATCATCAGGGTCTTCACGACGTCCAGCGGATGTGTGATCGTAGATGAAATAACCGACGTCACCAATGAGGAGAGAAAGTGCAGGGGAACGCCATCATTCACGGATGTATTTTGTCGCACTTCCGTTTTAATCTTATAAGAGGATGGAAAAAAATAAATACTATTTTGAACAAGAAAGCTTATATACCCTTGCAGACTTCAAATATATCGAATCAAAAACCAAAAAGACTAAACAACATCGAAGCTATGACGATTTTTTTTTATTAATTTTCCATATTTTCGACTATTGTTCATATGACAGCTATATAAACATTAAAAACAACGATGTTATAATTTTTTTCCATTATTAATATTTATATTTTTTATATAGACGGACGGAGGTATTTCGATTTAGATCGTGATGCTGATCAAAATAATGGCTGAAATTATGGCTGAAATTATAATACCCTTTGCTCTGCAAGAGTATAAAAAGGTGAATGGATGGAAAATATTAGAATATCAGAATTAAATCGATACAGCTTTAATATTTGAATAATCCAATTATAGTATTTTTATATTTATATTAAATCTTTTACGTAAATGTAAACTTTTCGATTCTACACTATTTTCTGTAAAAACACAGTGCAACTTACAATGTCGTATAATGCAATCTGACTGCAGGTTCCCAGAGATGCCTTCAACGCGGCCACCGATCCACCCGTATAATAGGCCGTCCAGCCTTCTTCCTTTGGTATTCGAATGAGGCCATCCAAGACGCTCTTATAGCTGTAATCAGGGCAAGAGAATGCCTAAGATTGATGGCGGTTACCGCAAGTCGGGTCAAAATACTTGCGTCGCTTGTCCGGAGGCACCTTCATATCGGTCTGCATCCGCACGTTAATTAGGTCGGTAGGTATTCCACATACGGCACCACAAATGCCAGCCACGCAGCCGAGGATTATCTTGCCGAGATATGAGTTGTCCTCGACAAGGTGCACCCTTTTGCCAGATTCATACACGATGAACCGAATATTGGTGCACGTCATCTGCCTCAGGATGGCTGCCGAGAAGCCATCGTAGAAGCCTCTAAGTCCTGTGAACAAGATTTCGCATTAGGCTTTAAAAACAATCGTATAATTGTTTCGAATGCTGGGGGTATCATTTACAAAATTCAAAGCTCTTAAACAGGGTATTGTACACCATAGTTCCATTTAAAAGCACATAAGGTTTTCCGATTCAAGTAAAACTATTTGATTGAGTCCGCAGAAAATTAAAATAGTTTTAAGGTTTGGCCAGGAAAATTTAGGATCTTCTCACGTAAAAAGCTATATATCTTTTATAAGGGCTAGAGCTAGAGTCCCTATCTTTTTCACTCACCCCTCAGTCTGTAAATATTAAGGGACGTGTCCAAAATGGAGCGCTTAGACCGCTGGATCTGCATGTGCGTCTTCACGATGTCAATCGGGGCTACCGCGAAGGCGACGCAGACCGATGAGAAGCCACCGAACCACCAACGCGGCAGCCGTCCTTCTGGCACATCATTGCAATCAAGGATGTCGTCGTCCAAGTCCGACATTCCTCCAGGCGACCGCCGAGACTCCTTGCGCCGTGCATTCGGATTCTGTTGGTTTTGATTTGCCTACCTTTTACGAGCAAGGTTTTTGATGGGGAGGGGAAGGCTCATGTGTTTTTTGGGTTTCACTGACAATTTAATAAAAACATTGTTGTAGCTTTTCAGCAACGTGTAAATCGACATATACAATTTTTTGGTAATTTCTTTATTAGTCGAAAAGGATCCACAAAAGATACAATTTTCACTGGGGAAACTTAATTAGTTTTTCTAAGCAAGGACTTTTTTATGCCCAGTCTCCTGAGTAGTTATAGTTTTTTTATAAAATGTTTTTGAATAATAATCATCCGAAACGTAGTTCTTTGTTCTCACTGAAAATTTGAAAACTATCCCAGTGACCTACTGATAATTGGTAATTGGGATGGTCTGTCGTACTTTGTCGAAAGGAGCCGCACTTAAATATCTGCTGCCCGCTGATAGGAAAAATCAGCTCCGCACTCAACTTTTAGTTGCAATGCATTCTCCCGGACGGTCGAATTCCCCATCTTCCATCCGAGGACAGTGACAGCTTATAAATCTAAACAAGCTCAGTTGGCCAGTTGCATAAGTTTACAGTTGCGATTCCGGCACACCGGATCCCCGGCAAGGTGGAGACCACGACGCGACCCGCTGCATTCCAGTGGGTCTCCACCTGCAAAACTTTTTTTGCCCACGCGGTTTGGTCGTGCGCACACTTTTACGCCTCTGCCCCGGGCATGTACCACCACCCACCACCCATCCCTCATCCACACCCTTTTGCACACCTGCCCAATCACCTGTGGGGGTGCAACACCCATCATCCCATTCGCACCACCCGTCGCGCCCTAAAAATGGTTTCACCAGTCGCTGTCCCGATGACATAATAAACGAGGTTACCTGCAGCGAACTTGCTCCTCTACTTTGTCCTGCCGAAAGTTCTCACTTCCACATCGAGGGCATACCCTTCCAGGGGGTCCTGCGATTTTAATTGACATCTAGAAGCTATAAACAAGCCAAACGTTCTTTATATTCAATTAATTTGTCTTGATGAAAATAGATTTCTTTTTGTTATGTGTAAAAAAGACTTCAAATATATTATTCTTAAATCAATAAACAATAAGTTACACAACTAGATTTTTACAATAGTCGAATCAACTTATCTACTTCGCCAAATATGATAGGAAAATATTATATGAATTATGGTAATTTTAATGTAACGATTTATTCAACACAAGGCTATAGGGTATTTGCGTTTTTGAGTAAAAAATATGATATTATTGTAGCTTTTTTGCGTTGGCTCTCCAGCTAATGTCGGACATTTGTCGCAGTCCTTGCAACCCATCCTATTTTGCATACTCGACACGCTCTGTTGGAGCTCTGCTGGTGGACCTCCTCTTCATTTCCCCCATTACCCCGAATCTTCTCCACTTCGTGTGCATTGACAAGTTTTTGTCACGTTTTCGGTGGCGTTGGAAATTCAAGCAACTTTTTCGCAACACGCACTTATCAAAAGTGGCTTCGACTTTTGTGCCAAAAGAGTAAATGAGGCGTCTTCAACGGCTTGTAGGGCGGAGGAAGGGAGGAGGAAGGAGCGGAGGGCTATGCACCTGACCAGGCCCAACTAACTTTTCTAATTAAATTCTGCAAAAATAAAACCACAACACACATTCGCATGGCAGAGGAAGCTGAAAGGCAGTTGCCAAGTTGACACTCGCTTATCACTTCCGCTTCCGGCAGTCAGAGTGGGCAGCCCTTTTTATAAAAAGTATGTCACAAATTCAGGAGTATGATGTAATTATACATGCTTAATAAAAATACTAATAAAAATACTCAATACAAACATTTAATAAAAATACTAACAAAAAAATACTTATATGATATTAATGTTAAATGCTTTATCTAAAGGGAAATATATGAATACTAAATATCAATTTTAAGTACTAAACTCTAAATATTAAATATTAAATACTAATGTTGAATAATTAATATTAAAACCATATATTAAAAACTTAACATAAACAGGTAGTCCTTGATTTAAAAATGAAAAGGGTAGTGGTAAGAGCTTAATTAAATTATTTATTCGAATGCTTAAATCGTTTCAAAACTTATTTTAAAACTCTTGTTTTTCCCAACAAAACAAGAATTGCAAATAACAATACTTTATTAAAGGACTTCTATTCAAAAGCACTTCATGAAGTTAAGCAGTTAAGTTATTTGAAAGTTTCAACAGTCGGCCAAAGTGTTATTTATATAATGTCGGACTTTTCTGGGAGGACGAAGTAGGGAACATTTTATTGTCAACGCCCAGAGTGTTTAAGTGGCTCGAAAATGGGATTGCAGCTGGGTGATCATTAATTGGCATTACCAGGGGGCGACAAACTCTTTTCCGCACCTTCGCCCACTCGTCGATGGGCTGATGGATTGTGCTTAATTGCAATTCATTTGATATTGACACTTTCGAGAGGCCCTCGTCCGGTTTTCTGCTCCTGCCTACTCGAAGACGCGCCTGGCCATGCCAAATTGTCATTGATTAATGTCAACACGAGTGAGCCGAGTGGGCGAACACCAAAAGTTGTACTCTCGAGTGCAAAGCAATTAATTTTCCGAATGCACTCGAACGGAAACTGAAGAGTCGCCGCACATACGATTACAGGGGAATGTATATTCAGCCCAGGGTTTTGGGGCAACTTCATCTAAACGAGTGGTGTATGGTAATATGTAATCGCTGGTTGGCATGCCAGCTGCATATAATCCTGCGAATTATGATGATTTGGCGTGCCCGGACTGTTTGGTTTTCTGGACGATGCCTTTTACAGAACCCATCAGCAGTACATCATGATAGTCCCCCAAAAAGGAATGTATATATTCGGCTGATTACGCTTGAAATTTGCTTGGCAAATAAAAACTGCAGTTACTGATATGAACAAACAGTGACTAGTTAATATTTTTAGGTTTTACAATTGCCATTAGCAATGTAAAATGATTTAAAATAGAGGAAAAACCTTTTTAAAAGAAAAGTACATACATACATAAAAAATAACTAATAAAATATAGATTATTGATAGTGGCCCTTTTCTTTTAAGACATCTAGCAAGTGTTAGACTAAACAGACAAGCATTATTTCCATTATTTCTTTAATCATAGAAAGAAAAAAGTCAGCATAATCTATCTCAGCTAGCCCTTGCAATGCATTTACCTTTAAAAATGCTTTCCAATTTGTCCCGCGTTTAAAATAACAATGCATTTATGGCTTCGCCGGCGAACTTCAGATATCCTGGTGGCGGCGGCGAAAAATGGGCCGGCCAGATCGGTTTACCTGGGTTCAAGTGGCGGCTGGAGAGTTCATTGTCCCGGCGTCAGCTGCCAACAACAGTTGGCTGTTATCCTTACCACTTAAGTGGGCCCCCAGGCGGCGGGACAAGGAGAGCTGCATTCCAAATGTCAGTCAACCTGCGATTGCCGGCAGCAGCAGCAGCAGCAGCAGTGGCAGCAGATTCGCACTGCCTTTTTCCCGGGTTTTCCTTCGCTTTTCCGCAAAGCGATTTCCCATCGCATGGCATTTCTATTTCTCCTCGTGGCGCTGCAGCGCGGCCGGATGATGAGTTTTTAATGCTGCTTTGTTTTTGTCCGCCTGTCGTGTTTAGGGGACTGGCACGCAGCTTTCCCGGCTGTCAGCCTGTCGGCCGTCTGCTGTCGGCTGTCGGCCCAATTTCGAAACTTACTTTCCCGGTTTACCCGATTCGCATCCGATATGCGTGCCAAACTGTTGCCAATGTGTAGGAGCGTATGTTGACGCGAATGTTTCCGCCTCTTGCCAGTTTCCGTCGCTTGGGGGTGAATGGATGAATTGGGTTGGGGCCCGGAATCAATTTCTATTTGGAGTGCGGACCCTGGAGCCCCCAGTGCTCGGTCCACCCGAATGCAATAAGCTGAAGTGAACTCAAGTCGAGCGAACCGAGTCCTAATTCATCTGATTAAGTATGCAGCGAACAGCTTGAGCTGCAGGAAAACTTTTACATCCAGTTAATTTACATTGTAATTTCCAATTGATGTCCTCAGCCGGGAAGCGAAAAAAAAACGGATTTAAGGGGGCAGAAAACAAGCAGAAAACCGGGAAAAGCCCGGGGATTCAGCCAATACAAATACATAAAAATTGCAATTTGCATTAATTATGCAAAATTATGCGGAGTTGACCCATCAAGGAAGCCCCGTTCCCGGTCCAATATTTATAAATTTTATGCGTCGTTAAATGTTTGGCCCCAGTTGCCTCGTCCCCAATCCCTCAAGGGCTTTGTTCCGCTCTTTTGTGACCGTTCAACTGGAAGTTATGCAAAACTTCAAGTCCCAAACTTTGGCCAATGGTTGTTGTTAATAAAATCGCCGGCCAAAACGCGTTTTCGCAGTGTCCTCTGATTGGTTTTATGACTCTTCATAGCTTCCCATAATTTAGTATTTAATTTAATTTGTTGAAGGATTTCCGATAAATTTACATGGGCTTTTATTGATCGATTGTAAAAGAAAATCTGTACATTGCTACAGAGTTAAAAAGTTAATGGGAATTGTAACCATACTCCATAAATGTTTTAGAAACTGTTTTTTTCCACCATTTTACTTTCATAATCGTGTAAGTACGTTCGGAACTAAGTAAAGCTATAGGAAGTAAAGTTCCATGTTACAAGCATATGACAAAAATGATAACAGTGGCCAGTTTTCTACTTTTAAATTCATTTTCAGATCAGAAAAAGGTTATAATACCATTTTTTATATATATTATTAGTTCTATATTTAATTTTTGATTAGCTTTTATTTATATATCCTATAATTTCTTCAAATTTGTTCTGGTTGTCCTGCAAATGATGTCAATCCGTGGGACCATAGGCGTTTCCTCGTAACCCTAATATCACGTTGTGCTCCACTGGGCCGCTGATTAAAGTAATTTCCTGCGCGCCCCGAACAAGTATTTGTGATTACGTCCAACCTCAGCTGCGGATGTGGGTGCTGGAAGGAGGTGTCCTGCACATCCTTCTGCTCCTCCGAAAGGCAGCAACAAACGAAAGCGAGTTTAGAGTGTGCCACAGGAATACCAGAACAGGGACACGGCGAACAGGATCAAGACTGAGGGGCAGCAGCTGGCGGTTCCTCCTTCGGAACCCCCTTTGGAACCTCCCTTCATCTCACGTTTCTTTTGCATTCGCCTGAAACAAGATGAAGTATGAAATATGATGTAAAATTATGTGATTACAGTTGAAAATGTACAAAAAATAATAAAGGAAACCAGCGGTTGAGGATGAGAGAGGGGGGGTGGCGAAGACACATGGCGTTGTGTAGGTAACCGAAGAGAAAAATGG